ATCCTCGTAGTACATGCTCGTGGTCGCGCCGTGGTTCACGCACCAGACGGGCTCGATGCCCAGCGCCCTGCGCTGCTCCCACACCGTGACGAGGTCGTCGAGGCCGTGGAAGGTGAATGCGATGTGCTCGAGTCCCGGCGCGGATCGGCCGCCGCCCGACATGCCGTCGAAGGTGATGATGCCCAGCCGGTGGTGCTCGTCGTCGTACCGCAGGAAGCAGGCGCGCTCGTTCTCGAACTCAACCTCCGCGCCGAGAAACTTCTTGTAGAAGTCGACCATCTCGTGGAAGCGCGTCGTTCGGAGGACGACGTGGGCGAGTTTCCACGGGCTGATCACGTCGTACTGTTTCTTGGTCGTGGCCATATTGTTTTTTGCAGCTCTAGCAGCGCTGGGGGACTTTCTTCTAAGTTGTTCCAAGGCCCGGTTCGAAGAATGGGCGATCTTTTTACAGAAACTGAAAGTCTTTCGATCACAAGAGATCGCAAATACATCGGAAGTTAGGAGAGCCGCTTTTTAAGTCCCATTTCGGCTGGCTTCCCTTGAGGCTTCCCAGAACCTCTTCAATGAGAAGTCCAAGCAAAAGACCCGCCGGCACGCATGATGATCCTCAATGAATTCGTCGATTCTACGCTCTCAGTGATCGGTCTCTTCGTCTCCCGACCCCCTGGACTCTCCAATATTCGGCGCCGAAATTTCGACGCCGATTGCACTGCTGGGAGGAACCGACGGGTCTGCTCAGTGCCGCTCCGCGAGCGAATTAGGACACACCGTTTCTCCTGATTTGCTTTGCGACAGGAAAAGGGTGTGTCCGCTGAGCATGAAAGAACCGCGGAGGGTGCGACATGAGGTCGCGCCATCGAACATCATTCTGCATGCGAGGATCCTCTCGAGCGCCATCTTTTTGGATCGACCCGAAGAGGGGAGGAAAGTCATATTCCCTCGCAAAATCGGTTATAGCTGAGAACTGGCCCAAGCCTGGTAGTTATTGCTGCCGCCTGTAGCTCTCGGTACGCCTTTATCCTTTTCATGGACGCCTCTGGGCGACTCTGGCAATTCCAAGGCGGGGCTAGCAAGCTTCGTCGTCGCAATGCGTTGTTTTCCTTACCCATCGACTGCATCAGCAACGCGTGTGTTCATAATTTGGAGACATGATGAGCCTGGCCAGAGACGTTGGCGCTCGTGCTGGTATTTGACTGCAATTGCGTTCTGAGCGTAAGCATAAATGCAATGATAGATACCCGCTTTCGACCAGGGCAGTCAGTGGTAGAGTCCAGACATCTGGGAATAAATATCCTAAGAATATAGGAAACATCTCGGGAGCGTAGATATAAGTGTACAAGGTGAGGATGGGAATAGTACTGTACTAAAGCCTCCCTTATTTAGGTGTATGCATGTCTTTCAAGATGGCTGGCACGGTCTCAGGGTTTGGCGGGTACCTCAGCAGCTGGTGGCGGCTCGTTGTTACATCTGTCAGCACCCCCACTTTGCGCCAAGACCGAGATTCGCACGATTGATTTTGCCCGCGGCCAAAAAAAAAAGGAGCACAAAAAAAAGATTTGACTGCGACACCTGCAGGATTCTGGGTGGCTGTTAAATTTTATGACTCTAGTTGGTGAAGGCATGTTACATACCGAAGCTGCGCCTCCGAAGAGACTGCCTGGACCGCTTATACCAAGACATGGTATATAGCAGGGCAGCGTAACCACTCGGCCAAAGTGTCGAGTTGATTTGGACTGATTGTGATGGAAATTTGGGGCATTCAAAGCTATATACCTGCGAGATTTGAGCCCGAAATCTTGGCACCCTACCTCGGTCTCTCGAACGAGCCTATTTATGCTTCTCGGCGCCAATTCTATCCAAGAAGTCTAGGAAGAGTCCATCCCTGGCCTGGAACATTCATTCATTCATTCATGGTAGGCTAAGACCGACCTACATGCTGTTGAGCAATGATGCACCTACAAAGAATCTCTCAGGAGATCTTTACAACGAGGCGACCCTTAAGGTGAGGGTCCAGGTACGCTTCTGGCAAGACCTCTGGCACCTTCTCGAGCGGGATGGTCGTGACATGCGACCGAATTCCGTGCTTGGCCACCACCCTCATCATCGCTGCGGCCTGCTCCTTCGTGGACACCACTGACCCCTTGAGGGTCAATTCCTGGAACACCAGCGCGAACGAGTCGAATTGGACGTTGGGCACAGGCAGGCCGAGTGGCACGGCGACTCCGTGCGGCCTCAAGGTGGACAACGCCCAATTGGTGGCATCGTTGTTGTCGGTGGTGATGACGATTGCTGGAAGGCCTCCATCACCTGCCCATTTCTTGATCTTATCCGTGGCGTCCTTGTCGTTAAAGTCGACCACGAAGTCTGCTTTCAATGGCGTCTCCTTGGCGAGAGTTCTGCCTTCCTCGCGATTGTCAATCGCGACTGTGGGGTGTCCGAGCGCCTTCGCAAACTGAACTGCCAGAGAGCCCAGTCCGCCAATCCCCACGATCCCAATGGGGGCTCCAGGTTGGACTCCCGATGCCTCTATGGCAGCCCAGGTCGTCGCCTAACAAGGCTTAGCATCACGATCAAAGCAATATGCGTGAAGAGGAGCTCGTGGCAGTATATGGCGAAACTTACCCCGGCACACATCAACGGAGCAGCGTTCACAAAGTCCACTTCATCTGGCAGCAGGACCGAGTTATTCCCATCAGCAATGAAGTACTCCGCCATGCCGCCATCAGCCTTCAGTCCCGCAAAATCGATATTCTCGCAGAACCGGATATCGTTGTTGACCTTGCAACCAAGGCAGCTGTGGCATTGATGACGAAATAGGAGAGCGCCGACACGCTGTCCAACCTTCCACTTATCTTGTACCTTGGGCCCGACAGCGACAATCGTCCCCACCGGTTCGTGAGACGGCACTATTGGCGTCGGGGACTGGTATACGCCCTCCCAGACCTGGTAGTCGGTATGGCAGAAGCCTGCTGCAGCGGCCTTGACAAGCAGGTCGCTATCACCGATCTTGGGGACTGGTATCTCATGCAGTTCGTATGGTTTCTTCCACTGAGAACTTATCAGTCGTGGGTGGCGTTCGCTGCGCAGGGATCAACCTACCCCTACAAGTTGTACCGCTTTCATGGTCTTGGGAATTTCGGATGCCATCTCTGACAATCTTGCGGATGCTGCTTGGTATGATGTTCAAAGGAGCAACTTTGCTATTCTGGATGGCGTGTCCATCAGCGGAGAAGTCTCAGTCAACTCCGAAGGGGCAGAGCCATATATAGGTTGATTCCGATGACTTGACGGCGCCTGCCACTGCAACATCACGGTTGCAGATAGACCATTTCGACAAATGCCCTCTTCTCCCAGAAGACCTGCATCATCGGCTCTGAGAGCCCGGCAAGCTCGGCGAGAATGGACTTCTCGTCAGCATATGCATGCATCCCCATACACGAAGCGAGGCCTCAGGCTGTGGACCAAGACCAAACCACCTACAGTTTGAGTTCTTCCGAATGGAAGCAAGAATGCCCCCGTCATCGGGACTTTGTATGTCCATCGAGCGGATAGTCTTCTCAAATGGATCTGTCATGAGGCCGTGCGTGCGAAGGCTTGCAAGTCATCCACAAATCGGCCACCAGGAAGCATCATTACCAACTTTTGGCCCTACACCATGGACGCTGATACACCAAGACCTATCCCGGGGGTGGGTGTAGATTGGCTAATCAATGTTTCTCCTAAATTTCCCGGAATAGGTCTGGTGCGAGTGTCTAAGAAGGTACATCGACTTCCCGAATGCGGCCAAGGCGCTATGACGGCGCCGTGGTATAAAGTTCCCCTCGCGGCACCCTTTGTCTTCCTAGACTTCCAGAAACACTGTATGCCGCGCGCACATGCGAGCGGACCTCGAGGAATGCTCTGCAATAGGAGCGCGTCGTTTCCTTGCGCTGCCTCTCTCACATCCCTGTCGGCCAGAAATCATCGGTCAATGTCTGCATGCCGACGATCAGGCACCGCGTCTGCTCCACGCCTCGCCTTGCGGGTTGTCCGCGTTTGCTTTCTCCGTGGGACGAAGCTTTGAGTGATGAACTCACCCGTCGGGTTAGGGCTGGTAACTGTCACGAAGAGAGTGTCACACGAAGATGGAGACGCTTTACACCTATCGGTTTCAAGCCTGAAGGGTGATGGAAGGGAGGACATGGACGCCGGAGATGAACTGCGAGCAATCCACAAATATGCCGTGGCTTAGAGGCGATTCGTCACCATGCCGCCATAGTCGGGGGTGCGCCGTGTCACCAGGATCATTTTCTTTCGCATCGAACACGCCTCGACCGCGAGCTCCTCTAAGTCCTCGCCTCGTTCTACGGCGACAGATACATTCCGCAGATCACGGTTTGTCACGACGCATTGGACTTTCTCGCATGGCTTGCGTGGGGTCGGAGAGGGTCAATTCGTGAAAGCTGCGTGCCCTGTGGGCCGACTTCTTGCACAAGGGAGCAAAGGTGTATCAGCACGGTCAAAGGTACAACGAGCAAGGCCCTGGGAGGATACGGGGTGGAAGAAAAGCAACTGGGAAGAAAGAATAACTTGGTACGGTGCCGCAAACGCACCATCCTGTCCAGAACCGGACTAGTGTGCGACTTGGCTCGGGCTTCGACTCTCCGAGCTCGGTTACACTCGGCCTCTCCAAAGCTTGGCACTGCCCCGCTCAGCGCGGCGTACGTCATCAGGGTCTCGTTCACCCACACCATCTTCGTATTTTCATCGCCGTGTTGGTTCCCATCTTCCCGCGGTCCCGAATGACGTGCAACGTTCGCACGCAGGAAAGTTTCCCCGTCGATCACTCGGGCCCCTTCAGCCTTGCGCGCTGCCCGGTTCAGCCTTGCCTTCTCTGACCAGCTGCAACTTTCTGAATGCTCTGAGATGTTGATGCCGTCTGACTTATGGTTAGTTAGGATAGCTTCGACAGAGCACAGCATTAGAAAAGCCGGTGTACAGGAAGACAAAAGCATCCGAGATGGAGGTCAATAGCTGTATTTTTTCATCCTCATCACTGTGCAAAAATATGTGGCTGTCAACCAAGCCAGTATCATCATGCTCGTAGCAAAACCCAGTATCATCAACCATGGCCTGTCCAATGCCCCCACGGGATATCATTACGTCAATCAGATCACTGTAAATACCCACATGCATACCTAGTCCTTCCCCAGCGCCATCGCTCAGTGGTATATGCATAAAATCTCAAAGTTTTGAAAACCCCATCAAATCCTGGTATTCACAGCCATCTTTCGCTCTCAATCCCACGGGCTTCCCACAAAATCATAGAAAACAACGCAGAGGCGCAAAGACAACCGCCTCTCAGAGTGTCAACTAGAGAGGCAGATGTCATCGTAGTAACCCACCAGCATCCGAGATATCCAAGTCGTCAGGTCCACTGGGCCGCGCCGGTCGAATAGGTTCCATATCCTCCTCCTGCTGTGAAGGCAAGCGGTTCCGATGTGACGACTTCCTCTTTTCAGATCTCATAGGCGAACGACCAGGACTACTCGCATGCCTCGGGGATGCTGTTGACGTGGAATGAAGCTCCTCCTCTTCGCGTATCCGTAACGGTCGGGATAGCAGACCACCGATGTCCGAGAGGAAGGCTTTCGAGCCGGATCTGACTCCATGCGGATGGGGCTGGGACAAGCGACGAGAAACTTCTTGGATGGACGCCTGGCGAGATCGAGACATTGGTGACTCATTGGGTGGCTGATCGACAAGGCCGCCGACGTCGAAGAAACCCATCCTGCTTGGTGTGTCGGTTTCTATGTAGTCGTTGCCGCCTTCGCTTTGGCGCGGTTCATCAAGTTGCAGTTTCAAATCGCGCAATTTAATATCAGCTGTCGAGCTGCTGCTGAGGGTGTCCAGCGAGGGCTTTCTGCGGGAACGAGAGGCCTCGGCGAAGTTCCATCTCGAAGAGAATGGAGCGTGTCGGATTTGGTCGCTGGGCTCCATATGGACCTCAGAGGACTTTTGCGGGAGAGCCACCACAGCCACTTCGGCCAAACGAGGCGTGGGTTCCACGTAGGTGCCGCTCCGCAGTATCGGCGGTAGTGCGACGCCGACGCCTCTGGCCAGATCTTCATCGGAACCCCAATGGTGTTGAGTGACAGATATCGTCCGGGTTCTTGTAGGTTGTCGACCGAGAGAACTGGTGTCGTCCACGGACGCCGCTCTGAATTTAGCCTTCTTCACACCTCTGTCACGGATGAAGCTGCCGATGACGATAGCATTTGATACCCCTGCAGCGGCCAGAATCTCCAGTGACGCTAAGAGCGACCGGTACTGCTGTGAGGAGCGTCGTGAGATGGTAGAAGGAACTCGATAGGCGGTGATAGCGATGAGAATGGTTGACAGAAGGAAGAGAAGGACGAGGGAAATCTTCTTGCGGAGGCGCATCGAGGATTGCCAGACCAAGGGAATGGGGAAAACGATTAGGACCACATCAGAGACGATATCGCAAACTCCCATGACGATCAGTTGGACCAGTCCTTCTCGACAATGAGGCCCGGGATCTGGGACGACCTGCCAGTAGTGCGAGAAAGGCTGACATTCGGACAGGGTACCGATAACGACGGCAATGAAGGTGACGACCAGGAAGCCATAAATGAATCGGAGTCCGACTTCGTACGACTTGGCCCACGACTTTCCAATGAGGCGCTTGAGAAACTCGAGCACGGTCAGTTTGGCCACCCAGATAAACGCCGCATAGAATATTCGAGCCGCGAGGACCAATCTGCTTCCAATCTCGCGATGGTGTATTTGCAAAGAGGTCAGTCCTTCCGTGGTTGTGTTGTTGGTCCCCCAGATTAGAACGACATGGACCAGTCCCATGCGAATCATGAGGGGAATGATGCTGTAGAACATGATCCAGTCTTCCCGAAACAGTCTTTCGGTGCGCACCCATCGTCCCAAAACACGGATCAGGATGGCCGTGAGAGAAAACAATGTGCACCACCAAGACACGATCAGTGTCGGGTTCGTCTCAACCCGCGACTGGTATGCGGGCGGGTCATCGTGGTATATGCGACGCTCGAGAAATTCAATGACGGCCATTCCGTTTTCTTTGGCCAAGAGGGCAATTGATTCGGGCTTTAGGGTGGGAGACTCGAGAAATTCGTCATAGCTTCGAGAACAACTGTCAAGGCGGATGGTTTCTGGAACTCAGCACCAAGGCCATGGGACGTCGAGGTGCGATAGAGCGACGACGCTGGGCGCACAGGTAGGTAAGCTCGAGTCGTAGGAGTGGTAGCAGACGTCGGAGGGAGGCGCAGAGGTGGTAGCAAAGCGTCAACTATTCAAGCTGGAGTAGAGGGAAGAGCCGACTGGTAGCGCCGTATTGGTAGTGGCAGAGGGCGAAGAGGGTGGTGGCAGTGGGAAAAGGACGCAATCAGATGGATGGGCGCAAGGGCCATGACCGGGCGAGATACAGATTGGAGTCGAGAACGGAGTGTAGAGGAGTTAGCGGCCTGGGACCCTTGGAGGGCCGGGAGGGTGGTTATCTTGGTCGCAGGCAGTGAGAACGAGAGGCCGGCGGTGGGGAGTGGAGAGTGGCAGAGGCCGAAGCACGGTGGCGCAACTGATAAGTAAAAGTACGGAGTAAAGTCCCTGGCCCGCTGGATAGTTCGTTTACTGCTAGCTTCGACCGAGGGTGGCAGGTAGCGAGGCAGCACCGCGGGAAGGGCACAGAGTGTGTGTCTCTGTGAGAGTGGGATGGTCGACGGCGAGATGTGACTGGAGGAGGCAGGGACTCGAGTGGGCGAGCGAGAGTGAGAGTGAGTGACAAGTGTTCGGGGCACCAGAAAGAATCAACTCACTAACGCTTATAGGCACCCAGAGGCCCCAGTAGGGATTGTAGGGCCCTTATCAGTGGCTCATGATTGCATCTGTAGGCACCTCCAGGCGCCCACTGTTGCCCACCCGTAGTTACAGGCAGCCAGTGAGCTGCGCCATCCCACCCGCCAGTCCGCATTGCCAGATACTCACTCGCATTTCCTCAGCATTTACGTGAGCGAGCAGGGAGGATACACGTCTTTGTGCTTCTTTTGGCGACGCATCTGGTGAATCCTACTCGGTACAGGCACAAAACACAAATAGGAACCATGTGGTGTCCATTTCGCCCTCCCACAGTCTCCCCCATACGTAGAGATAAGCCTGCGGGCGCACGGACTCGAGCCAACAACCCAGAGGAACCACCAGACCCTCCTTTTCCCCCAATGCCTCACGGGTCACAGAGTTTGAACAAAAGGCTGGAATTGGACAATCTCCCGCACAGCACAAAGACGCTCAGACACCTGAACGACTCATGAACAGCCGAGGAACGTTGCCCTCGGGCAGTGGTCGATCCCCTGGACAGCGAGACTTCCACCTGCGAAACTCAAAAGTCAGCACACACTCATCCTCTCATTCTCTCCCTTCAAGATAACAAAGTATCATTGTACCAGCTACCAAGCGTCTGTCCTTTATCTCTCGAAACCCACACTCCACCTCTCCTTGACCCCTTTTGCTCTCCCTCCGTCCAGCGCCCTCGCTAAAGGCAGACAGTCACTGTCGCGTGGTTTGACCCTCGCCTGTCCGGCCTCTTACCGAAGCACATGTCCAGATTCTCTCTTCGGCATAGCCCGCCAACGCTCGAGCCCTCCTCGCCTCCCACGCTCCCTCGCTAAGGGACTCTCTGCCCTCCTCGCAAAATGGCCCGCTATTTGGCCCAAGCTCAAATCCAACCCGGACCCCATCTGGTGGAACTTCCCACAACTCCCTTTCGCTGGCTGAACAGGACGCCCCTGCGTCTCGCCTGCTGTCTCAGTTTCAAAAGGAAAACGATATGAAACCACCTTTGCTGTTGTCACAAATTCTGAATCATAATGACGGCTGAACAATTGAGACACGACTAAGGTACATCTGGAGAATGATGCCCACCTGTGGTTGGGTGCATACGGCGGTAGTTTCATGCGGCAGGATCTTGTCCTCTCTTCTTTCTGGTGCAGATTTGCCTGATGCAGAAGCCAGCCCATAAAAATACGATGGCCCCCCCTAAAACAATGACTGATACCAATGCCGTCTTGCCTGCACTGACTGAAAAGACTGACACAGCAAGTGCTACAAACACCAGCGCCGCCACCGGCCCCAAACGCAAGACCAGAGCCGCAATGAGGTTCACATATCGGAAAACTTGAAGTCGAACCCGGGTCCACCGCGTCACCGAATCGGTTTGCCGCTTTTTGCACCAGGCTTAGCGCACGTACATTGCTGCGAGCAGGATACTAGCCAGACTCAAGTCCATTGTGAAGAGTAACCAGCTGATGGCAATGAATGTCCGAGCATGCTCCGGTGTTAGGCCGGGTTTTCGGTCGTCTCGGGGACAGCTTGGAAAATGCACTGAAAGGTGATGGACCCGCCAAAGGCCGCAAAGGCAACGACTGCGGCGAAGAATGAATTTATCTTTGGACGAGCCTGTGGGAGACATCAAGGAACCAGCGCTGCTACTGGTCGTGACTTGAGCCAAGTTAGACCGTCCCTGGGCGAAGTCCCTTCTCTTAATCCGGAAGACTTCAGGAGCGGTCTTGGACTTGTTGTGCGATTCCAGCTCCTCGAGGATGAGCTGGAGCAGTTGCTCGGATTTCGACTCGTTGTGATCAGCGACGAAAGTGCGCGAGCTCCGACAGCTGGCAACATTCGGCTCAAGGTAATGCATCTCCATGTCGCTCGACATATCTTTTTGGGGTGTTGTCAGTACCAGGTGAATGGCAATGTTGGTTCGTATATCAAAGATTGCTGTCGTGATCTGCTTCATGGTGAATAATGCGCTGCTACTATTGCTGCCGAGTGGGTTGACGAATGTAGCAGCTTGACTCCATGCTCAACAGCCTCATATATACACAGGTGCTAGGCGACCTCCCTCTCAATGAGTGTTGTGCAGCGCTTCAACAACATTGCTCTGAGGGCATACACATTCATCAGTATGGAAATGGCAAGCGTTGATGGCTGATGAGGCTGTCCACCTGCGAATGTCGGATAAAAAGAAGAGTATGCCTTTCGCACCCTCTGGGTACTGGTATACGCGCCGGTATAGACGCTCCGGTCGACGCAAGAGCCGAATCGTATCGTTCTCGAGTTCTTCCAGGACACGCTGTTTGCTGCATGGAGGCTGTGAGCAGTGACCTTCAGCGCTCTGGCACTTCCCAAATTGGATTTGACGTGCAGGCATCGCCAACACTCGGGAGGGAAGGAGGACGGAAGGTAGGCAAGCTGGCAATCAAGTGATCAAAAGGCGGACAGCCGGATCGTTGGTTAAACTCGTGTTGAAAGCCGGGGCCACGGAATCATCTGATGGGGCCACCATCTGCAGCATGCCCCTGTCCCTCGAGCATACAGGATGTGTTACAAGTAACCCTCGTGAACGCACCACAGCCTCTACTACACCTTCGACGAATACGAGGATAGCTGGATGCAAGTCATCAAAGTGCGTCTTCCGGCTTCCCCCAGGCGTGGAAAACTCTACAGAGATGCCCCTAGGCAAGCAATGTGCATGACAACGAGGCTCTATGGTCCAACCCATCAAAGAAGAATGGAACAAATCACATGAGGCTGAGACTAGGATAGGTGGCAAGGGAAAAGGCAGCCGAAGAGCCGCATCTCCCTCCCCCTCCTCTCAAATCGAGCACCACAGCCTCACTCTTCGGCGCCCGTCTCTTGCATTTGGAATCAGGACCACAGCTTGTGACCATTGACCCTATTCGTTTCTATAATCTTTCATATGAAAGCAATGTAGTCCCGCTATCCTGTTCAGAATTGCACACCAATGTAACTGGAAACCGGTATGCTCTGTAAATGTTCATGTATCTCACGCGGTGCCGTTCTGTACTCCGTCAACCGTCTTCCGAGATAGTATTACACAGTGCCGAGTTCCTGCTCCATCTCAGAGGATACCGAAACGCAGAGTCTTGGTTGACTTCAGAGTTGGTCAGGCTTCAACCACTCCCGAGACAAAGACTGGGACGACGTTCTCCGCGCATCTCATCTCTGTCCTTCGTCCACCCATTGGTTCTTGAAGACATCCTCATCATAGATCTCTGTGCCGTCAGCCTCCACAATTTCCGTGGCGACGCCCATCTCAAAGGCGCCTTTTGGCGGCGCGAATCTCGGGTTCTCTGCGAAGCAGATATCAAACGTCCGTTCGGACCCCATTCTAGCTCCGCTTGGATCCAGACATATCGGCCCCCAAAGCTCTACGCCATTGACGACCCCGCCTTGGTGGTGGTACATGTGCTCAAAAAGAGAATGTTCCCCTTGGTAGACAGAAGTCGAATCACCCAGAAGAACACATAACAGGCACCTGTATACGCGCGTGTTCTGCCGACTAGACGATATGTGGGATTTGAAGAGCAAGAGAGATCGCCAACGGAGGTTCCGTGTTGAGTGGGCTTTATCGTCGAAGCGTGCTCGGCCTCGCTCGTCTCGATCTGCCGGTGTTGTAAAGGGGCATTTTCGACAATGGCAAGCCCATTCCATGTTCTTCATAGAGACCTGGACTCCCTTCTCGTAGATGCCTTGTTGAATATAGTAGGCACCTTTACAAAAGCCGGCTGCAGCCAGCACATCAATGGATGAAACGGTTGAAACTGGGCTGATGGGTGGGGTCATGACTTGGGGTCTGCGAGGATCGTCCAGTGACCTGATCGAAGGAGATGTGGGTGAGGTGACATATGAAGGAGGCCGGGAGGTGGCCTGTGGCAGGAGCGTCGAGATACTCTCTTTCTCAGCAGATGAAGTTCGATGTAACTTCTTGAAAACGTTCCAGGACGACTTCCGTGGAACCTGACCCGGGATAGGAGGTGGCTCGGACTCCAGAGTTCCACTGCGTTTCTTGCGCTCGGGGGATGGAGGCGCTTCGATGACCTCCTTCATCTCATCTGGCGAGGGTCGTGGGGTTTTCACTGGCGATTGCAAGTGACGTGATGTCAGAGGCAGAGGCTCAGAGGTCAGACTCGAGTGCTTCCTGCGTTCTGGGGCAGCTTCGACAGCCTCCTTCGTCTCTTCTGCACAAGGTAGTGTTATTCTCACTTCCGAGTTTGGGCTAGAAGGTTTCTGCTGACGCAAATAGAGCTCGTTGAGTATAGTAACCGCGCGTAATCGGGCTGCGATGGCTGAATCAATACAGGCCTCGAAGTCGATAACATTGTCGTCTCGGCTAGCGAGCATCAGGTGGTGTAAAAAGGATGCTTGAACCTCGATGGTAAGGCTCTGGAGGGCCCGATGAGCAATATCTTTAGACAGAGGTCAGCGCCAGGTCCCCAAAGCATGCTGCAGCAGATTCCAGAATAGGGCTCACCATCTCCTTGCTCGAAAGTCGGCCCAAATCGCTGTATGCCCTTTGCTGTGATCTTCTCGATCTCCTGATGGCCTTCTTGAATGGATTCTTCCAGCGCCACGCTTGGAGGCAAGGCGCCTTTTGCCTTGCGTCTTTCCTTGATGTTCTCGACAATAGCTCCAGCGTCCTTGTATGCTGTGATCAGGGCTGCTACCGCCCCGATAACGGCGATACCGATCTCGGCTCCCGACATAGTGAAAGTAGGACGATTAGCGACGCAGTGAGTGCGAGATGCAGCTTCTTTCGTTTCGAATGCGGTTGGAATGGTGGTTATTTACCGAGGCTGGCCATTGTCTCACACCACTAAAGGGTTGACTGGATGGGACAGAAAGCCCGCAAGCAGGAGCAGTGTCAGAGCAGGGGATGGTGGAGATACATTCTTGTACTTGTTAGACGGGCTGGCATTGCGAGGTTGGATCTCAGGGAGGACAGATCAAGGAAATGTTTAAGAGAACATGCGCACGAGGAGCCGCCGGTCGCCCACGGGCATGCAGGAGCAGTTAGTCTCAGGGACAAGTTCTGTGATCCAGCACAAGGCATCCTTCACCCAGGCTCCAAGCACCGGCGAGGAGTGCTCCGTGCACCACATCCCATCGTGCTCGCGGACGAGCAGCATGGACGGGAGAGGCAGCCAATGGCAGAGGCAGGTGGCGGCATGCTAGAGGTGAGTCGGTCGTGATGGGGCGCAGTTCGCAGCTTCGCCCTGCTCGGGGGTGGAGGGAGCTTGATGCGTGAGTCAGGGTGAGGAGCTTCCCGGGTCTGATGGATAGAGAAGAAGTATTCAATCCGCTACCAGTAGAGGGTTGATAAGAGAACGTGTCGCTACAACAGCTCGCTGGCACATGGGGAGGTTGCTGGAAGCTCCAGGAGTGGGTTCGAGGGGACGCAGGCACAAAGTGAGCAGAAGGCTAAAATTAATGGCAGTCTGACGAGAAAAGGGTTCTCTGGTGGTTTGCCCTTACTAGTCATCTGTAAAGACATTTCTTCTGTTATTACACACGGTGGTACCCCTATCCTCATTGACCATGTCAGCTATATTTGATCTCGCTGCTACCTCGTCGTTATCTCGAGACCACGTTAGACTGCAATTTATTTTCGATGTCGGCTGGGGTGATGGCAGCGTGGCATGACGAACCCGACACCATCTCCACCCATCGAGCGCAGTCAATGCTCAGCCTCGTTGCGAAAGCTCCCAGACCTCCTCCTCCTTCGTCGACGCCCATTTATCTCTAGCCCCCAATTGTGGCTGCCCTGACCCCTCCCATGGGCGTCATGGATGCACGAGGCATTTATGTATGCGCAGTTTAGGCCATTTGATGCACTTATTCACTCTTTTTGCAGCAATTGGAAAAGACAGAGGATGGTCCGTAGTGGGCCAATCCACTCCCTCTAGAAACACTCACGAAAGCGCCCAGGCATGCTGCGCACCGCAAGGTGCTATGCCAACTCTCGCTAAATCCTGCATCGGCTTCAAACTCATGCACCCGCCGGTCTAGCTCCAAATATCCTCGCCACCCTCCCTCCTCCCCCGGCGTCCAGATTTCCTTCTTCGACCCAACCAGGAACTGGTTCTCCTCCATCTTTGCTGGCAGTGACGCTCCACACTTCAGGGAATCCTGTCTTCATAGGTCCCCCGGCCTTTTGGCTTCCTGGGATTGCGAAGCGAGGATTGGTGTGCAGAGCAAAGCCCCTCAACAGACCTTGCTGGATCAGACTCAAAACCACAGATTCCACTTCGTTCATGGCAGGTAACTCCTCGCTTTCACTGCCATATGGTACGTATTGGCCGATATATTCGTCAATGTACGACCCCGTTTCTGGATCAAACCCTGTCTCGTTGATCGCTGCATCCATGTCTGCAAACTCAGGGTCGACGTACTTCTCGTGTGAGCCAAATCCATTGGCTATCGAATTTGTTCTCCGCTTGCTCAATGCCCATCCAGCTGCGTGATGGACATAGCTTAACCTGAGGAACGGTATTTTCTTTTCCTCGCCCATGTAGCCGGCAAGGAGGAAAGTCTTCCTGATCAAAGTCCTCCAAACAAGGATCTCACACCGATTACGGAGCTGGAAAAGGATGGAGCGCTTGAGAAACCACTGCCCCGACTCGCTGTCCAGATCCAGGTACTGGTTGAACAATCCGAGATCGCCAGTCTGTATGATCTTGCAGAGCGGAGTAAATCTTGGTCCTATGTCACTGCTCTCTGGACGCGAGAGGAGTGTTGGAGAAGGAAATCGGCCAAGACAAAGATTGGCTGCTATCAGGTAGATCAAGATCAATCTTCGATGCTTAATGGCTTGGCGATGGCACTGTTCGTATGCCGTTTGGAGCACCTTCTGTGCCCGTAGGAAATGATTGTTGGCGAAATGGAATCGGCCGAGGTAGTACAAGAACGTAACTCGCTGTGCTGCTGGGTAGTAGGACAACGGCGGCGATTGAACGTCGATACTGGAGAGCATCTGCTGAGCGTTGCGTAGGCGGCGGCATTGTAATAGGAGCTTCAGACACGAGTTTGCCGTCAGGTAGATGCCAATGCGCTTATCCTCTGGAGAAGGACGAGAGGTTCGCGGTACCCCAGGGCTGCCCGCCAGGCACTTAATGAATGCCTCTCGTAGCACATTGGCCGCGTCTTCCACGAAGCTCACCTTGCCCGGAGCGCCTTCGGCGTCTTGTGCCGTGGTAAGACTGGGATTCCGAATCAAAGACGGGTTTCGATCCAGGTTGGTAGCAATAGCTGCAAGGGTGCGGGAAAAGGAGAGCACAATCGGTATCATGATGATCCCATACTTGGTGTCCCCCAAGGCGGTTACACACTGGCTGTCGACAGAATCAATACAGAGCCGACGAAGAAGACTGATGGCCAATTCACCTTGTCAATTGCCGAATCTTGGTTGCTTTGGCTTGATTGTCCGCGGACGTGAAGTCGCGAAGGTAGCGAAAATACTGGATGATGCATTCTGAGAATGAAGTGCTGAACGCCCCGAATTCATCCTGCGACACGGTCTGCTTACACCTGGCCACGAGTTCTCCGTCTCTTTCTGGGGGATGGGCTCGATTGAGCTCCTGGTTGAGGTCGGCATAGGGCTTTTGCCGCTCGGGGCTCAGGCTGTCGAAGTCCAGTTGAATGAGGTCGGTGATGCGTTGTCCATTCTTGGTTCTGATGCTATCGACGATCTCCGTCAGGAAGGAATTCAACAGTGAGACACGGGCCCCGAAGGCAGCCATTTTCCGCGACGGGCGAGGGCGAGGCTTTGCGTGATGGAAGGGGGTGACAGCGCGATCGCGGCAAAGTTTCAACGGATGCTCTCCATCTGCGCCATCGCAGTTTATCTCTCGAAAGGTGTCTGTCCGCTCCGGTCACACGGAAAAATTAAATTAAACCAAAATCCCTTTACGGTGAGGAAATTGTGTCTGGCGACTGTTTTGATTTTTAGAAAACTAAATTAAACTGGCATTTCTCAACCGCCGAGAATTTGCCCGTGTCGCGGCCTTGTTGCAGCCTTGTACAATGTAGCCTTGGTGTGACCTCATTGAACCGGTACACCAGGCAAAACTCCATACAACCTCAAACACACGCGGCTCTCCTTTCATCGGAGGCCAATATTGGATCTCAGGACCGTGGTCCGATTCGTCTTCCTAGAAATCCGGCCCTGACGGCCACTCCAAGTTCGCAAAGACACTGCTGTCTCTCCACCTTTCAATGAGAGCTAGGCTCTAGTGTCCATTGGGCTCCAATGAAAAGACCATCCTGTGGCGATTCGTCACACAGGACCATGTTTTCGCTGAATCGATAACCCAGAAGAGAAGATCATCAATGTATTCGCTGATCGGCCTCCAGTGCTTCTAGCTGGCGGACCGTGAACAGCGGTGGCATGTCAAGGGCGCTGGGCGACACTATGCGCATCTTAATCCTTGGTCGTAGGGACTCTTGGTGCTTCGTCGGGTTGCATCGCATGATTGCTGAAAGCAGCGACGATCCCCCTGGTTTGCCATCCGGAAAGGGCTCATTTCTCCGTCCCAAGAACCATTTTTTCTCTCTCGCTGTGTCGAGGCATACTGCCTTTCTTGCTATGTTTGCGGACATTCTCCTCTTTCCTCTTGATCGACTTGAGCTCCTCTCCTTTGATTTCACCTGCTTTCTTTACAGTTTTCGGTACGTGTCGATGGCGCTTGATCCGCCGAATTTCCGGCATATGAGCATATCTCCGGATCAAGGCCTGGTCATACTCAAGCTTTTGTCGTTGCCTTGCCGATTTGATGCCCTGTCGGCTCGAAGCATCAACTCGCCACAACCTCACATTGCCGTCGTCCGACCCGGACAAGACGTAATTGTTGTCTGGGGTAAAGCGACAACTGAACACTCTCTGCATTCTCTTTGTGTGGTATACATCTCTCGAATGGCCTCGGTCTCTATTCCACAACCGCACTGTCCGATCGTATGATGCACTCACCAACTCCTCCCCGGTGGGACTAAATTCGACGTCCATGACCGCAGCCACGTGGTCTTTCAACACGTTCAGCGCCCGGTCCAGTTTCCGCATGTCGAATATATAGATGTTGTGATCCTCATTTGCTGCTGCGAAATTGAAAGCTTCCATCGGATTCCAAGAGATTGCATTGGATGCTAGCCTCAGGACGACTTTGGTCAGAGGCGAAGAGGTGCGGAGGTCATAGAGGATAATGGCCCGATCCAGGGCGGCCGATGCCAGGATAGATGTCTCGGTCTGATTGAAGGAAACAGCGGTGATTGTGTCAGTCGAAGTCGGCCAACGCAAGACTTGGGAAGGGCCGGAAGAGGGTCTGGAGAGATCATATATTGATATTGCGCTGGATGAAGCAGCAAATGAAGGATGATGCCGATGATGCGAGATATCAGTGAATGCTCCTTGGCCAAGGTAAGTTGTCAGAGGCACTCCGTTCTGCTCTGCGTTGTATGGATCCCAGACTTTGACCGTCTTGTCGGTGGCGCAGGACAGCAGTTTCCTTTCTGGAGTCCAACACAAACCTCGAACCACGTTTTCATGGGCTTTTACACTCCAGCATTCGTCGCGGCTTGCCAGGTCCCATACTTTGACCATACCATCACCACTTCCACTGGCAAGTCTCTCCAATGAGCCAGGGTCCTTCGCCATGGAATAGACCCCGTCGACATGGCCTTGGCCTAACTGTCCGATGAACGGCGAGGCGAACATGCGTTCCATTTTAACAGCATTGAGGGCTCTTGTGTATTCCCTGGCCCGTTCAAAAGGGTGATGACTCGGGTCGAGATTTCGGGGTTGTCGCAGAGCACCTTCGCCCGGAGGCGCAGGTGGTCTCGTTAGAGACTTGATTTTCTAGCATAGCATTAGTTGTGCACAGATGAAAAAGGTGGAGCGTACCAACCATACTGACAGCAGCATATTACATGCAGTCCATCCACAGTAAAGGAACAGCCTACTACACGGATACCAGAAAGTCGAAGTCAAGGTGGTTTCTGGGTGCAGGAACTTTTTTGTGGGGAAGGCAAAATGCGGCTGGGCCCTGCGTCACGGGCAAGGCTGATATGGATTACATAAGGCAAGGTTGACCACTCGGAGGCTACGAGGACATTCGCCAACCGCGTCTTTTCTGCGCCTTGCGTCGCCCTGTCGCAGCCTTCCAATAATCCTAGAGTTGCAAGCGACCGGTCACCTTCTATCCATTGCTGCACTGCTATTATAGACCCTGACCATTCACCAACCTCTGCTCTCCTCCTTGTCCTCCTCTCATTTCATAAGATGGCGCCTCCACCTTCAAACGAGACGAAGGTCAACGAAGCCCAAAAGCTGGCTAAAACCGAACCAGCGAAGGCAGAGAGTATCTACAAGGACGTGCTTTCTCAGTCTCCAGGCTCTGATCAGGCTGCCTTACAAATCTATGAAAATGCCCTAGTCGGCCTTGGAGAGCTGTACAGAGACAACAAACGCTCGGAGGATCTGTCGGAGCTCGTCAAGACGAGCAGGTCAACCCTGTCGTCGTTCGCCAAAGCGAAGACAGCGAAGCTTGGTACGTTGACAGCGAGTCGATTTGACAAAAGATGCTAACGTTGATTTCTAGTCCGGCAACTCCTCGATTTCTTCTCCGACATTCCCAACACACTCGAGATCCAGATTGTCACCACGAAATCGTGCATCGATTGGGCCAATTCCGAAAAGCGATCCTTCCTTCGTCAGAACCTCGAAACGAGACTGGTTGGACTGTACATGCAGAAGCAATCATACTATGATGCCCTCACGCTGATTAACGGTCTGCTGCGAGAGCTAAAGCGGCTGGACGACAAGCTGGTGCTTGTTGAGGTGCAACTGCTCGAATCTCGGGTCTATCATGCTCTCACCAACCAGGCCAAAGCCCGAGCCGCCTTGACTTCAGCAAGGACGTCTGCCGCTTCCGTCTATACCCCTCCTCTGCTGCAGGCCGGCTTGGACATGCAGAGTGGTATGCTGCACGCCGAAGACAAAGACTTCAATACCGCATATTCCTACTTCATCGAGGCTCTGGAGGGTTATCACGCTCAAGACGACACTGCCCGCGCCACATCGGCATTGCAGTATATGCTATTGTGCAAAATCATGTTAAACCTTGTGGATGATGTCAATAACCTGCTGTCGTCAAAGCAAGCACAAAAATATGCCAGCACAAGTCTGGAGGCCATGAAGGCTGTGGCAAGAGCACATTCGAATCGGTCGCTCGAAGAGTACGAACAGGCCTTATCCAACTATCGATACGAGCTGGGGAGTGACGTCTTCATCCGCAATCACTTGCGACGCCTATATGACGCCATGCTGGAACAGAATCTGATCAAAGTCATTGAACCTTTCAGCCGAGTTGAGATTGACCATGTCGCCAAAATGGTAGGACTCGACACCCAGCAAGTGGAGCGAAAACTATCTCAGATGATCCTCGACAAAGTCATCGTGGGGGTGCTAGACCAAGGAGAAGGTTGCTTGATCGTCTACGATGAAGTTGAGCGCGATACTGGTTATGACGCGGCCTTGGAGACGATCGAAAAGCTCAGCAATGTGGTTGATGTCCTCTACACCAACCAAGCTGCCTTATTAGAATAGCAGAAGCTCGCTGTTCTGTGATGGTGGTGATCCTCAATTGCGCCTGCAACCACGTGTGTCAGGCCACTTGCTCGGTCAGCATCTGTCCACTGTCGGCTTGGACACGGAGCATATTATGAACTTGGTCCAAAGCCACCCAACCCTTGGTCGCATCGGCTGGAGCTGAGCACGGCCAAGACGTCTTAGCTCACGAAGCAAAGAATTTGAGCGAGGCATGGCAGTGCCATAATTTAGTTCACTTCGATATATGCACAAGGAATGTGCTGCTCAGGCCGCCAAGCAGCTCGTCGGACCGAATCGAGCCGTGGAGTCCGAATGAAGAGCTTTCGGAGCAAATCAAAGGATGTGCAATGACCTCTGGTTGGTGGTCGGCCCCGTACACAACCTGGACAGGCGAGATGAGCCTTTGGCGGTTAGGTAGAGAATGCCGAAAGTCTAGATTCCGTAGCAACAAAGGCACCCGCCGTGAGCGATTAAGGCGGCTTTGTCATTTGACTTTTGACTGGCGGTGCTGGGTGTCAAGGCTTGATCGAGTCCCCGCCACGCGGAACTTCAGGCGTCAAAGCCTCAATCGCTCCTGGTACAATCGATCCCCACGTGAGGCTTCAAGACCGATTTGTCCCTTGACTTTTTGACTCTTGAGAAACCTGGTCCTTGTGAAACCCTGCGCTTGAGGCAAGATCTCTAGATTGTATGCCCTTGGTCCCTCATCCTCCTCGGATCCGTACAGAAACAAAACTACACCCACCCAAATCGCATTGTTATCCTGGCCAGGCCTCTGCCCCGCGGTCGCAATCGTAGCCGACTGCCCTGCTCTCTCAGCTCCCCCGAAGCCGACCTCGCCCGTCGCAATTCAAACCATTCTCGTTCACGATTCTGAGACTCGGTATTGAAAATTCGGGCCGTTCGGCCTCAGGTGGGCTATCAAGATGGGTCAGAAGTGAGCAGAGTGATGGTGCTCGACATAGGAGCGCAGTCGCCGATTGTCACAGTGGGCTGACATCGTCTACAGACAATCGAAACTGTCGCCACAACAACTGGAAGAGCTCCAGAAATCGACGCATTTTGATAAGAAAGAGTTGCAACAATGGTACAAGGGTATGTCGTATTCAGTTTGAGCGGATCTACCCTCTGGTTGGTAGAGAAGCGAATTGCGGCTGAACATGTCTTCCCATCACACAGGGTTCTTGAAGGATTGTCCCTCGGGCATGTTGACCAAGGAAGAGTTTCAAAAGATCTATCGACAATTTTTCCCCTTTGGCGACCCAAACTCCTTTGCCGACTACGTCTTCAAAGTATTCGACTCGGACAAGAGCGGGACGATCGACTTCAAGGAATTCATATGTGCCTTGAGCGTAACGAGTCGAGGCAAGATGGAGGATAAACTAGACTGGGCGTTCCAGCTTTATGATATTGACGGAGATGGCAAGATCAGCTATGACGAGATGCTCGCAATTGTGGAGGCCATCTACAAAATGGTAAGCCGGATTTTCTCTCGCCCTCTCTGTCTCCTCTACAGATCGCTAACCAGACATCCAGGTCGGCTCCATGGTTAAATTGCCCGAAGACGAAGATACGCCAGAAAAAAGGGTAAGAAAGATTTTCAGAATGATGGACAAGGACGAGAATGGGAGTCTTGACATGGCAGAATTCAAGGAAGGAAGTAAACGAGATGAGACGATTGTGTCGGCTCTTTCGCTGTATGACGGCCTGGTATGATTGACCCGAGGGAATCACCCAACTCGAATATTTCTTTTCCACTTTGGCATTACGGGAATGGAAAACATACGAGACGCTGGCGCTTTTGGTATTTCTGTCAGACTCTTGGATTAGGAGCCGGTGTGCTTCATCTGTCCTTGGAGCAGGGGCGAAGGAGGTGCTTTTGGAACACGCAAGCTGAAGCCACAAGGCTACACGAAAGAACATGTGCGACGAGTGGCATTGCATTGAATACGTTTGCAAGAGAGATTGAGCGTCCGAAATAAATGACTTTTAAAGCTTTGACACCCGAATCGATATTGTAATTATTTGTGCGAGGCGTGGTAGCTTCCGCTGACCACGTTGGCTCGATCCCGTGGCTCCGAAGTCCGACAACTTTTTTGTACATCTGCATCTCAGGAACGGGCTGAGAACAACACGACACCTCTGACATCCTTCGGAGCGACACACATTTACGACCACACAGACATCGGAGACACCCACCGGTCTCTCCTTTAATGAGATTTGGAAGCCTTGCCTTCTGCTCTGAAGCTTTACCCTCTCTGCGCCCCCTAACCATGAGGTGACCTCCCTTGGATCGCTCGCGAACAAGCACACCCTGGCACCGGTCGAACCTCCCTTCGCTATGGCTCTCAAACTCTCTCCGCTGCTTCTCAGCCTTCTATTCCTCAAGCAAGCCGCATCCTTCTATCTTCCTGGCGTTTCCCCCTCGTCGTACTCCCGAGGCGACCAACTTGAAGTCAACGTCAACGCCCTGACACCCTCGATATCGCGGCACGATGAGCAAATCCATGCCGTGGTTGCCTTCGACTATTACCACCCGGCTTTTCACTTTTGCCAGCCTGAAGGAGGACCTCAACCCAGACGAGAGTCGCTGGGGAGTATCATATTCGGCGATCGCATTCAAAGCTCCCCCTTCCAGTTGTGGATGGGATTGAATCAGACATGCAAGATTGCTTGTCCGGGCGACACATTCGACGAGAGGTCAACAACCTTCGTCAATAAAAGGATTGAGGAGGCTTATAACGTCAACTTCTTTGTTGATGGCCTCCCAGCTGCCGAGCTGCGAGAAGATCCGCTTACCCACGAACGGTTCGCGAGTCCCGGCTTTCCCTTGGGTAAAGTGCAAGAAGATGGGACGAAGATTCTACACAACCATTGGGATATTATCATTGACTACCACACCGCGGGGCTTCGTGGACTCAAATACCGTGTGGTCGGCGTCTTGGTTCAGCCGCAATCATACGCCGACTCTCGCCTGTCGGACGACGGCAAGGCAAGTTGCGCTTTCACATCCGGCCCTCTCGTCCTGAAGGAAGGGGGAGGCACATCAGTCACCTATACGTACAGCGTTTACTGGCGACCTTCAGAGACGGCCTGGGCCACCCGCTGGGACAAATTGCTTCACATTGTCGACCCCAAAATCCATTGGTTTTCTCTCATCAATTCCGCCATCTTTGTCATCTTTCTGATCGGCATGGTCAGCACCGTCCTAGTCCGGGCGCTTCGCAAGGACATTGCTCGATATAATCGACTGGATAATATCAACTTGGATGATCTCTCGGGGACCTCTGCAGTTGACGAAGACGTCCAAGAAGACTCGGGCTGGAAGCTGGTGCACGGCGACGTCTTCAGGCCGCCTCGCTATGCACTGTTATTGAGCGTCTTACTTGGGAATGGCGCACAGCTTTTCGTCATGACTGCTGTGACCGTCGCATTCGCTATGTTAGGCTTTCTTTCACCCTCCAACCGGGGTTGGCTTACGTCTATCGGTCTTCTGCTCTACACTATCTTTGGGTGTATTGGCGGGTACGTGTCGGCGCGAGCATACAAGAGCTTTGGTGGCGAGAAATGGAAACTCAACATTGTGCTGACTCCTGTTTTCGTCCCTGGCATTGTATTTGGGACATTCTTCCTGCTCAACCTCTTCGTCTGGGCGAAAGGAGCGAGTGGCGCAGTGCCGTTCACGACGATGCTGGCCATTATCGCCATATGGTTCCTCATCAGCGTGCCGTTGAGCGTGGCTGGGTCGTGGTATGGGTTCAAATCGCCAGCCATCGAGCCACCGACGAGAGTCAACCAGATTCCACGACAAATTCCGCCCGTGGCACGCTCTTTGCGGCCGATCCCCTCCCTTCTGCTCACAGGCATCCTCCCGTTCTGTGCCATCTTTGTGGAATTGTACTTTATCATGACATCGCTCTGGACGAGTAAGATCTACTACATGTTTGGATTTTTATTCATCTGCTATGGGTTGATGGCGATGACGTGCGCGTGCACCACCATCCTGCTGGTGTATTTTTTGCTCTGCGCCGAAGATTATCGCTGGCCGTGGAGGGCGTTCTTTGGCGCGGGCATGACTGGCGGCTACGTGTTTCTGAATGCATTGGGATTCTGGGCCACGAGAGTCACCTTTGGAGGACTCACCGGGGCGGTTCTTTATGTCGGTTACTCGGCCCTTCTCAGTTTCTTGATTGCTGTGCTCACAGGTGAGAGATTTAAGATGCTCTGTCGCGCGGAGTGGATGGTAGGATTGACTTCTGTTTACAGGCACGATCGGATTTCTATCGTCATATGTTTTTGTCCACCGCATCTACGGGTCGATCAAGGTAGACTGAGAACCAGCATTGTCTTGAGTCGTGTATTATTATGGCCTGGAGTTGGGGACAAGTGGAAGAGGAAAGAAAAAGCACACTTTGAGAATAAGTCAAAAGATGAATATCAGGATGGGTTGTACATTTTGATGGGAAGGCTGGGGGATAGTCTCGAAAGACCGACGATCTCGGATAGGACATGCCGACACAGCCAGGAACTTATAGGTAAAGTCCAACATGTGAACCCACAACGTGTCACTAAATGTGTTTTGCTTCACAACGAGGAACACGTAGCCAAAAGGAAAAGGGATCAGCAAGAAGAATAGCGGTGATCGTCGATTGCGCATCCACCCCCCTTCCGCGTCTGCTGGGCTCTCTGCAACGCGCTCCTCCGCAGTGTTGTTTATTGTCCGTCCATACCCGTCCTCTGGTTGAGCACCCGGACGTCGATCCGTGGGTCTCGAGTATCGTCGACAGTGGAATAACCATCCTCTTTTTGTTTGTGATATGTTTTTCCCTGTGTCCCATTTTCGACGGTTGCCGGAAAGGGAGGAGGCAAAACTAAAGGTGCATTTCTTGTGGAGTAAGGTAACAGCCAACGCCGAGTGTCACCTTTGCGAACGGTTGGAATTGACATTGAGCACGGGCCTAAGCGTCAAAGACTGGGGTGCGCATGGGCTCAAGACTACTACCTCTTGTACTGTAGGCACGGCAAGCCCGTCAAAAGAGTTCAGTAACCATGAGATTTGAGGAACAAGAGGTGATGACCGGAACAGGATGTTTGTGGGCCACTGACGTCGAATTCGGACAAAGATGTGGACGGAAGAAGGATCAAGGGTTGGTTACGTAGTGTGAGAACCTTGATCACCAGTTAGTGGACAGTGTGTATGTAAGAGAGGGGAATAAGTTGTGGTTACACGATGCAGCCTCCCCTCTCATATTTCATGGCTCACGTTTGTACGTTGGTGTGGTGTGGTGGCGTGGGTAGTAAGGACGATGTCGTTCACGGGAAGATGTCTGGCAGAAGGCTGCAGATGGATCCGGGTCGGGTAATGGTAAGATAACAAGCAGACATTGGTTGTTGTGTTGGTGAGTGATGCGCTGTTTGTAAGAGGGATGGGATGAAGCAGTAGTCCACACCATTCACAGAAGGTAAGAGTAACCAGGTGTTCGGGAATATACTGTGCCTCGTATGAGATCGGATATCTAGGAACAACGCGACCCCCTCATCAAGGAGGAAAACGGCCTGGTGATGCAGGTGGCTCACTGGTTACAGGGGTGGCACCCGGTGGCTGTTGCTTAAGAGAAGGCCCCTGGGTGGCTACTAGGGATCCCTGGTGCTGAACGGGGTACGGGGTGGATGCGGCTGCCCTCTTAAAACTGACCCTGGTGACCCTAGGCTCTCTTGGACACCCGCCGACGTCACCGTGCAGCAGACCCCGTTTCCGCAAAGCCCAGTGGCCAGGCGCCACAATGGCCCTGTGTCGATTGTCTCGGTTCTCTGTTTCTCTCCTCTCCAGGTCAAACTACCCGTACACTACCACCACGCCGCTCACTGCTCACTGCGAGTATAGACACATCTCAAACGCTTGACTGATGGAGCTGGCTGGCTGACTGAGTGACTGCATGTTCCGCCCATTCCATCCGTTCACTCGCCGCAAGTGCACCACTGTCCTTGCCACTCCATTCAAGTCTCGTGTACGCTGGCCCATACGCCCATACGCACACACACTTTCTCGACCTTGATGTTAAACTAGCCTCACACTCACCATCGATCACTTCACAGTCGCCATCATACCCTCCACCTTGCCCTCGTTTCGGTCTCCCTGGTCAGCCTCCCATCACGTCCCTCTACCTTCTCGTCTTGGGTTGTCGTGAACGTAGTCTCAACACTGCCTTGAGACAAATCAATCATCCTTGAATACACAGGGCACCTGGCTGGACGCCATAACGATCGGAGGCGCAACTCCGCCGCTCGAACTTCCTCTTATCTCAAACCCGAACCAGAAGATTTGCCCCCCTCCTCTCCATGCCTGCCTTTCGACTGCAGCGAGGTTGCAGACACCGAAGTTGGACGATCGAGTGTCTGCTTCCGCAACAATGAAGTCGTCGAAATCCCCGCGCGTTGGAATGCCCCCCCGTGGCCGCTCTTCACGAAGCAATGATGGTCATGGGTCGGCGACACGGTCGGAAGAGGAAGCCACGGGCGAGAGGAGAAGTGGCGTGGACGCGTCTTCCATTGCTCCTACCTTGGTTCACCATCAAGTGACGAGTGTCTTGACGCGCGAGAGTTCGTCTGGGATTGAGGCAATGCGACGAAGAATGAGTGCCGCGCTGGCCCGAAAACAACAAATGCGCACGGCTGCCGCCGCCACTGCTTCCAGCGGTTCGTCTGATACAACGAGACAAGACGACTCATCCGAGCCCTCAGCTTCACTGCAGCATACAGAGTCGAGTTCAGATGAATCAGTCAACACCGCAGCCCTCTCGACCGATTCCGCCCGTACTATACGGGCCACGTTTGACATGACCCCCGGGGCTGTTAGGACACCGTCATATCCGTTCCCGCGTATGGCTTTGCGACTCAATCGTAACACCAGCCACCGCTCAGGTCCTTCCCACAGACCCTTCACTCTCTTGTCTCCGACGAATGAACCACCCTTGAGCTCAGACCCTGCGCAGCCTCCTCTTCCCCAACGACAAGCATCCTCTTCGGACCTGAGTACACCAATTGGCCAGACACCGCTGAGTCCAGGTTATCCGGAAGATCCCAATTTCCCAGCACCCGACTTATATGATATCATCTTGATGCTCAATGCAGAGCCAGGGTTGGATATGTGGTGGGTCAATGTCACCGAGGTTCTGTCCGAGGTTTATGGCGCCGAACGCGCATCCCTGGCGGTTCCTGGAGATATCACTGATCTCGAGAACGTACCGTGGGGCCAGAAGGCAACGTACAACGTCAATGGCAGCGAGGGGGTGCCGCCTTCACAGTTTGAATCCCTGGCAACCTCCGAAGCTGACATAACCTCGCAAGGCCGACGGCCAGAACCTCCCAGTAGAATTCCTAGTGAGCTAAGTTCAGCTCTGCCGCGCCGGCCGCCTCTACTGTCCCGACATTCTATCGCAGGCCCGACTCCTGATCCATCTGCGAGGGGTACTCGCCAGCGGCCTGCAGGGCCTGTGCGCGCCCACAGCATGTTGCCCAAGGAGCCAGCAGAGGAAGTCCCGACAGTGTCACCGCTCTTGCCCAGGTTGACCAGACAGGCAGCGACACCTCGATCGTCTTCCATGGCAGAGTTGGATCCATTGGTGCCCAAAGGGCAATATAATTCATCTGGTTCCGGTTCCTCAACACTGAGATGTCATGTTCATCGTTCGATCCAGCCACTAGAGGCCGAAACCGACCCTTTACTTATCCGTACAGGGGTTGCAACATTGTTTGGGAAAAGGAAACCTATTGTATTGACGAGGGCGTACACAGAGACTGCACCGAGACAGTCACCCAAAGTCAAAGGAAGAGAGGATGATCAAAGCGCCCCTCCGACACCCTCACGAGGAGGTCTAGACGATCGGAAACTTGCAAGACCAGAAGACACTTTGACGTTGCAAAGCGTTTTTCGCGCATTTGATGAATATGAACAACCAGAACCGTCACCCTGGTCGCAGAGTCCCTCCCCATCCCCTGCGGCACGTCCTGACCCGGCCGAATCGCCTTTTTTCACTCAGCCAACGGCATCCATTGACGAGACTGCATTCGAACAAAATCCCCCGGTGTATGATTACGCGACCACAGCCAACCAGCCATTGAGTGCGATAGGAGCAGACATGTCCAAGACACTGATTCACGTGCCACTGATACAGCCGATTTTGGCTAGGGGAACTCTAGCGTCTAACCTCCGTTTTCCGATAGCCATCCTATCCTTTCTGTCGCCACTGAATCCGTATCCACGTAGTCTGCGGCATTCCTTGGAAGCCCTTCTACCACACCTGGCAAGCTCATATTCGCTTTCCCAGCAGTATAGCGCTCTCCAGGATCGTTTGCGTGGCACTCCAGGAAGCCGACATGAAGCTGCATTTGGTCTCGGGGGTACATTCTCTGACGAAGGCTCTGAACTCGAGCTTGTGGCCGAGCTCAGCGGACAAATCGCGCAAGATAAAGAGAATGCTAAAACATGGACATACCAAGAAAGCCTCAGTCCAGGTGTTCTTAGGGAGAGTCCGGGCAGCTCTGTCGTGAGCACGCCGCTCATGGAGCAGTTTGGGTTGAGTTCAGGACAGCCGCCGACTCCGGGAGGCAAGACGGGCTCTGAAATGGTGGACAGCTACTTCTCTGCAAGGAGACAGAGAGCCGGTCAACACCCGCTAACTCCTGGCCCACGATCGACCAAGGATGAGACCGAGCAGGCCAAGCATTCAGCTGAGAAATCGTCTGCAGGTTCAAAGATGGCCGGGAAGAGAAATACAGGTAGTGCCACAAAGACACAACCTGACCCTCCTAGTCCGATGGCACTTCGGACGGCGAGCATCACATCTGAAAGTGATGCCGGAGATCATCCTTTTCCCCTGTACGATAGGGCTGACCCTTCAACTCGGCGAAGCACAGCTCGGCGTGTTAGCGAGCACAAGGATGATGGAGAGAGACCTTTGCCCGAGCTTATATCGTCTCTGATGCTTAATGCTGTGCCCCTTCAGCTTTTCCTGGCAAAGCCCAATACGGGAGACTTGGTTTGGACTAACCGCAAATTTGACGCGTTCCGGAGTCAAGGGGAAGGTCGCGTGCGAGATCCCTGGAAGAACGTCCACCCAGCAGACAGAAACGGGCTGGTCAAGCTATGGAATGAAGCTTTAAGAACAGGAAGTCAGTTCACCCACTACATCCGCGTCAAGAGATTCAACAGCGACAGCGATTTCCGCTGGTTTGTATTTCGAGCCAGCACTTTGTTGAGTAACAATGGCCGGCTCTTGTACTGGATTGGTTCATTCCTCGACGTGCATGAACAATACATGAAGAACCTCGAGGCGAGCGAAAAGGAGGCAATCATGGCCCGTGACACCAAGATCCGTGCACTTGCAGATGCCATTCCACAGATCCTTTTTGAGGCTATCGAAGGAGATGGCATTGTGGCTGTCAACCAACAATGGCATTCATATTCGGGCCAGACACTGGAGGATGCTCGAGGGTTGGGGTTTGCGAAACATGTCCATCGTGATGATCTGCATAAATGCGGTATTTTGGCACCGTCAGACGTTGCCGCGATTGCTCGGTCTTCGGCTACAAGCCCCTCTTCGTCCAGCGATTCGAACAAAACAGTTGGCGCGACCGCACCGCCGCTTCCTGCCCAGAAAAATCTTTTCTCGCCTGATCTGAGCTCGCTGGACCGGATGATTAAGTCGGGCTCGGTGGTCGTGGAGAAGGACGAGAATGGCCGTTTGTCCTACCTGACCGAGATCCGGTTGAAGTCGAGAGGCGGTGGGTATCGCTGGTTTCTTGTACGCCTTGTTCGAGTTGATACTGGCCTATGGCAAAGTCAGAGCGGAAAGGCATCTTGGTACGGAACATGCACCGATATCGAGACACGGAAAGCCCTGGAACGAGAATTGAATCAAGCCAATGAGAAGGTTCACTCCGAGATGGAGTCCAAGACCAAATTCTTTGCTAACATGTCTCACGAAATTCGAACTCCTCTCAATGGCATTTTGGGTAGTATGCCTTGGCTCGTCGAGTCGGAGCTAGATCACGATCAACGGCGGACGGTGGACACCATCCAAAACAGCGCCAACAACCTGAGGGAACTCGTCGACAATATTTTGGATGTGACCAAGGTCGAAGCTGGGAAGATGACGCTACTTCCAAAGTGGTTTCACGTTCGGGCGCTCTGCGAAGAGGTGGTAGATACAGTGTCATCTAGAGCCATTGAGCGTGGACTCGAACTCAATTATTCGCTGGAGGCCAACGTCCCATCGATGGTCAAGGGAGATGCCTTCAGAGTGCGCCAGGTTCTGCTCAATCTCCTCGGGAATTCCGTCAAATTTACCGAACAGGGCGAGGTGTACATGCGATGTTCCTACCGCGAAGCCGAGCCTGCCAGCTCAACGGCACAGGCTGATCATTCGGGTCTACTATCATTTGATGTGGTCGATACCGGGCGTGGTTTCAATGAAGACGACTTCAAGCGGCTTTTCAAGCAGTTTGGTCAGATTGGAGGTGGTAGCAGTCACGAGGCCGGCTCTGGATTGGGGCTTTTCCTTTCCAAGCAGCTGGTGGAGATGCATGGAGGCGAGCTTTCTGTCACAAGTAAAGCAGGCGAAGGCTCGACATTCAGCTTTTACATCAAAGTCGAGGTGGCTCCCCCCGGGTCTGAAGTTACCTCGCCCCCAATCGCTGCAAGAGCTGGACAACAGAGGGTGTCACCTTTGTTGGGAGGGAGTCCTCGATCACGGTCCGACAACAAGACGCCCACAATATCGTCGGCCAAGGGTCTTTTGCACAACGAGGGGATCATTCAGACGCCAGGGTTATCCAGATATGTTAGCTCCCCTCCGCAACAGGCCCCCGCTCTGCCATCGCCGGCAGTGTCATCACCAACGATGGTTTCACCGCCGGTCCTTTTGTCCGATAGCTCTGGAATGTCAATGCGATCAAACTCTGGCAATATCGCGTCCGAGTCATCGGCGACTTCGATCGTGCAAACCCCTGAATCCGCGCCTCCTCCTGAGTCTGCAGCGCCACCGAGTGAACGACAAGTCCTGACGGAGAAAGCCATTGCATCTCACCCAATCTTCAAGCGCAGCAAGAGCGATAGCGAGGGAAGTAGGTTGGCGCCAGAAAAGGCGCATCCTCAGACATATTCGGTCATCATTATTTGCCCTGCTGAGCATGCGCGAACGGCGATCAAGCAGCATATTGAGCACGTGGTTCCTTACTCGATCGCCGCTAATGTCACGACCATCCCGGATATCGGTTCGTTCCTGGACCTCTTGAACGGGCCATCACCGCCCACCTTCACGCACATCGTGTTGGACATCCCTGCGACGTCGGACATCATGCTGTTCATGCGCCAGATGGCGAAATACACAGGCCCGGTGATACCAGCGCTCGTGGTGATTACCGACCACTATCAGAAGCGGGATATTCTGGATGACTTTACTGCCCTCACGGCCAGCGGGCGCAAGGCCTACATGATTCACAAACCGGTCAAGCCGTCGGTATTTGCGATGATTTTTGATCCCGCACAACTGCGCAATTTGAGCAAGGATCGGGCACGCGAGGTGGCGCAGTCGAGCTCTGACGACTTCCGAAATATTGCCAACCTGGTCAAGGAGAAGATAGGGGGGAAAGAGCACCGAGTGTTGTTGGTCGAGGACAGCGATGTGAACCGGATGGTGATCCAACGGTACCTCAAGAAAGTTGAGCTGATCAACGACTGTGCCAAAAACGGGCAGCAATGCGTGGATATGGTGCAGGGCCAACCACCGGGGTACTATTCGCTCATCATCTGTGACATCCAGATGCCGGTCAAAAATGGGTATGAGGCGTGTACGGAAATCCGGGAGTGGGAAAGGAGTCACGGGTACCGGCCGTCGCCGATCATGGCACTGACAGCACATGCGATGCCCGAGGAGCGCGCAGCGGCAGCAAATGCTGGATTTACCGACTATCTTACGAAACCGGTTGATTTTAATGTGCTGGGGACGATGATGATGACGCTACTGGACCCAACCGTACCACACGTGTTCTTACGTGATAGGCCTCTGGAGTCTTGAGTTTTGTCGAGGCGCAGGGAAATGATTCTCGGGTTAGGGAAAGCTCTGCGTCAGTGTGCGCTGTCCATGGGCAAGGGGTCACTAGTTCCACGGCATTGTCACTGCGTTGAGCGAGTCATTGCGAAGCATTTCTGGGGCTGGCGTTTTCCTGGTGGGATGGCCGTTGGCAACTTCTTTGCATCGCGTTGGGGGAACTTCTCATGACGGACGACTCACGCTGTATAAGGGTGAAGGGGGGCACTAGCCATCTTTGTGTTTTTAATCAAAAGGGAACAGGTGGGTAATGGAGGGAGGAGTAATATAAAGGCTGGACCAACACCAGGGACGGAGGAGAATGACACGAATGTGCATGGCAATGGGGGTTCAGGGGGACCCAATGTTGTTGTCAATATGCTCAGGGCCTAAGCTAGGGGGAGACGACCTCCTCAACGAGAACCACGACATGCATGAATGGGCCTGGAGGCAAGTTAGTATTAGCATTTGGCGAGGAAAGCGTGCATTTGGCGAGTTGGGCGGCGAGATCAAGAAGGGGGAAAGGAGCTTCCCTCTGCGCCCCCGATGGCCACTGGGCTATGTGCCTGAGTAGGTAGATGTATTTATCTACTTGTGCGGCACTAATAAGCATTCTGTATCGAGTGGGTTGTAATTTGACCTTGACGAATTGAGTTGTGGGTGGTGATTATGAAAATGGGAGAGTGGTGAGGGGAGGGAGACGTGAGGTGCCAAGGCCTGGATTCCCTCACCCGCACAAATTATCACCCAGACCTATGGACTCGTAGGCGGTTATTTCACCCAGGTGGGTTGTTCCGGGGGGGTGAAGGAAGGGCTGGTGGGCGGCCATGGGGGATCTCACTAGCCCCCCGGCCGTTTGGGGGGGCCAGCCGATAGGTACCAAAGTGTGACCCGGCGCCGCTGCCAGTCATTTGCAGCCCACTGGACTATTTCTCAACGCCCAATGAGCCAGACAGTGCGGGCAGCCAGGCAGCCAGGCAGCCAGACTGCCAGACAGCTTTCCCGTCCAGAGATCAGACGCCCCATTCGAATCCGTCGGGCCATTGAATTGCTGTGCGAAACATGAGATCGAACCTCTGTTGGCCTCTTCTCTGACGCCGACTGGTTCGGCAGGAGTCGTGAGAGAGACTAGGGAGTGAATGTGCCGACATCTATGGTCTCTACAAGTAGGCACAACTCGTGGTCAGGATGGCCCCGTGCTTCAGGTTAGCCGCCTGCGGTGACGATTGTCCTCTGCCCGCTAGCCCATGTCGATACCTACCAACCTAGGTACCTATGCTTACCTGGGGATTTGCTATGCCCACGCCTGTGCCTATGCTGATACCCCATGCCCAGCGGTCCAAGTAGCCCATCTCCCTGCCCACGCGCTGGAATCAAATGCCTCGAGGTACCTTTGCCCGCCCAACAGCATTGGACTCTCTCCTTTTTGCTGCCTGCGGTGACCTTGACTGCACGTTCCCGCACTTTCTTTCTTCTCTGATTATTTCCCTTTTGCGCATGAGACCGAGCCGAACAACCACTCACCACCATCCTCACCACCACTGCTCATCATCGCCATCACCACCACCACCACGACCGCCATCTCCTCCTCGCTCCTCACGCTCCCACACCCTCCCACCGGCACCCTGCAACCATCACCTCACCCCTCCGACGCGCCAACGGCCAACGCTTGACCCTTTCTTGACCCTGCCTCTCGCTGCTTTCATCCGACCTCTTACGTCTGGGCCTCTCTGCCACTCCTGAATCCTCCTCGACCAATTCCACCATGCGACCCTCGTGTCCGCATCCACCGCAGCCCACGCGCCTCGGCCGCCCCAAAAAATCAAAATGTGAAAGTTCATCGAGACAATTTCCCAATACCTCTGCTTCCCACACTCCACGTCTCGCACATAAACATAGAAACACACACACATACACACTCCCGCACACACTCGCACATACCCTCCGCCAAGGAGCCAGTCCTCCCTCTCTCCTCCCTTGCCCCTCGAGGCCTGTATCGGGCCCGGCCATTAAAAAAAGACAAGTTTCCTATCTCAAACCCGTCCTCCCACCTCCTTGGCCGAATCAACGCTTCTCCCGCCTCTCCCCCCCTTGCTCACGTATAATCACGAACCTTCTCCGTCCTCGCTCCATTCGCCCTTCAGAACAGCCACTCCCGTCCGCCGTTTCGCTTCTAGATCCCGCGAACTAAGGACCCTCACGTCCTGGCAAAATGCCTCAGCGACCCAATGATCTTCTTGGGCTTCCCGTTGCCTCCCCTCAACTGCCTGACTCGGCTTCAGCTGAGACTCTGATCCCACCCTGCCATCTCCTGCTCGTGGAGGGTCTCTCTCCGCTCTCTTTGGTCAACCCTCGACGGACTTTTCCTTTGTCTCTGCCGGGCGGAAGGTGACGGACTGTGCCGACCCTGCTTCCACCCTGGCTCAATCCTCTTCGCATTGGTCCTCCTCCTCTTCTCATCCTGCTCATCCCGCTCACGAAGCGGGGTCGGTGGACTCACCATGACACCACCCTCCCTTGACCATGCCTCATATTGGTCCGCCCAGAGGGAGGTGATGAGCTGGCAGTCTGCTCCCCTGCTCCCCTTGTGACGAGAGGAGGGCCCCAATTTGCCTATAAAAACCCGTCTCATCTGTCTGAAAGTCCTCCTCCCTCCTTCTTCCTTTTCTATCACTCAACTTTGGAAGAGTTCGAACAACCATCTGATTCACCCACCTCAGTCTTAGTCCAAGTCCCAAAGCCCCCTCTGCCCCTCTGCCACCATACATTGACCTGTCCTTTGACCTTCTACCTTGCCTCAGTCGTACTTATCATCTCTTCACAATGGCCACCTCTGCTTACTCTCGTCATCCCACTAGCTATGCTAGTCACCAGAAGACCCTTCCCATCACCATGCCGTCCGGGAAGGCTCCGGTCTACAGCTACCCCCAATCCCGGGTTCTTGATTCCCCAGAACTCTCCGACACCAGCACATCTTACGCTGGAAGTCGGACCTCGGCGGGGTCCTACTCGGCCAGATCTAGTTATGCGCCCAGCCATAGCAGCGGAGACTGTGACTCTTACGCACATTCCGGCGTGGATGTCGTTGACATGCTCAGCGACAAAATGAACGCCGCTTTCGATCCTATTCGGATGGATCGCTCGCTGGCGAAACAAGCCCAGACGTAAGTGGCCACTCCGGGACAGTCGTGGTGAAATTGAGAATCTGATCAAAGGCAGATCTGGCGAGTTGAATGCTAAGCAGCGAGAGCTGCAAGAGCTGCAAGCGATGGCCCAGCGGAGATTGAAATCTGCACGCGTCAATTTCGCTGAGGGAGTCGAGGCCGTGAAAGAGGCCCGACGAGACGTGGAATACACGTCCAGGAAAATCTCGTGAGTCCAGATCCACGCACAAGGCTCCGCGCCCCCCTTTTGGGCGAGCCGCAATGACCAGGCTGACTTTTCGGGGCTGCCAGGGCGATGAAAACGAAGGCGGAGAAGAAACACCCGGAGGCGTATGCGAAAGCAAGCCGCAGTCGACATGCATGAATCCACGACGGTTACGATTGACGATGTTACGAATTTCCTTCTCTCTTCACGTTGGGGCTCATTTCTCGATTTCGAGGCCCTCCGGGGACTTCCCATTTTGCGGCAGGGGGTGATATGGAGGTGATTTTTCCACTCGGCGTCCGCTCCGCCCAAACCTTTGGATGTCGTCCAGCCACAGCAAATCAGAGTCCATCATCAAACTCGAACAATCATTCGCCGGGAGCCTCAAATGCAGCCTTGGCGGCAGTCCTCCGGGATGATTGACGTGGCAGTGAGTTTAGGGTTCCGCTCCACCCCACGAAATGAGCCAAGTTTCTTGCTGCTTTTGCCCCGCATGGTGGCCAGGGCGATGGCGTGCATGACGCCAGGCCCATTTCTGCAGCCAGAGAAATCGCCCAGTTGCCGAACTTGCACTGCAGCGATCGACTCTGCAGGAACTGACCGCCCCAGCCAGCAAACGCCGAGCGGGTGCCACCATGAAATCCCCCCCCCGCAGGCACACTGGGCCCATTTCTCTGGTTTGGTGCCACCTTTGCACCCGTCTAATTGGATCACGAGCTCCCAAGCTCGATTTGGGACGAGCGTCCTGCCCTGTAGCACTTCCCCTCCTTTCGGTCACAAGACCTCGATTCTGCAAGTGACGAGCCGCGGGACTTGCAGATGGCGTGGAGATTGCGGTGTGCCAGCTAAGCCGGATTGGGGCGCTGGGCCGAAATGTCGGGGCTGCGAGCAGCTTGCTGGCGTCCAGATGTGCACGCCTGGGTGTCTCCAGGGACGGTTGCGAATAGGTTGAGGCTGCGTGGAAGTCTCTCGGGGGGCGTCCTGGCCCGTGGCTCGGACCGCGGCTTGGGGTTTCGCTGGGTCTTTTTCATTCCCCATGTATTCTTATTGTTCTGGTGACAGTTACAATTGACGAAAAAGTTTCAATCTCGGCCGGTCCGGCACTGGACCTGTCCCCTAAAATGGCAGTCGTAGGGGCCGCTTGGCTGGGTTTCTAAGGGCCCATGGGGGTGCAGAACAAGCGGCTCTAGGGGCGTGATAAGGGGGGGACTGGCAGCCATGTACCGAGTAGTGACCAGGGAGCTGCTGGAGGGCGTAGGCGAGCATGTGGAGTGTCTGTGAAGGGGCTTGACAGGGTGTTTCAAGGTGATTCAGGGCGCCTTGGTGGGCGCGAGGCTGGCCCTGTGCACCCGTCACTAAGAGTTCAGAGTAGACGTGAGTAAACCTATAAGGGAAGAGTAGCCCTCGATGAGCTTGTATTCGTCTGGTCTGTCACATCGCAGTGTCCTGGGCGAGTGGTTCCTTGGAGATCCTCTCATCCTCGTCAGTAGGGTGTTATGTCCCTCGTAGACATACATGTCCCGCACCGAGAGTCTCCGGCCTGGCTCGTTCCTGGACATATCATCTCGGACTCTGCAACCCTTACCTCTGTCCCAGCCCTTTTCTTATCGAGAGATAAGAGACTGACTGGGGTGAAGGTGATTTTGTTCGGTTTCGGGGCGGGGAGGAGGGGGGAAATTCGGACAAACGCCACGAGGCTGCGCCGCCCCTTTTCCCTCCCCGTTGGACTTTTGAGGGTCTAATTTCCCTCTTTTGCCCCCCTCCGTTCTTGCACTGTCGCCTTTTTCCATGTGGTTTGTTTCTACTGCTCCGACTTTCTACTTCTACCTTTCCTTCTCGGCCTCGCTTTGTGAACTACTCATTGGATAGGAGATTGTCCATCTACCCGGGCGGTGGGCGGAGGACGTCACGACTTGGAAACGCAAAGGCTGATGAGCCATCAGGGCGGCCGAAATTCAAGTGTATTCTATGGGATAGACTGGCACTCTGGAAAGATAAGAGAGACAGAGGGAGAGAGAGAGAGAGAGAGAGAGAGATGTAAGATGTGGATTACCGCTGTAGTGCTGTGCTCTGGTCACTGACCATATTCTCACTCATGGCTCTCCCCTTCCACAGCGCCATTCCGTACAAGACTGCTACGCGACATCTGTTCGAGTGTGTGGAGAGGAAGAGACTCAACGCTGTCAGACTTTGTCGACATAGAGGACGTCCCATGTCGAATTGGCTTTAACTCCTGTTGCCCTTTTCCCCGCTGCCTCCGGGGTCGTCTCCGCCCTGGCCTGTCTTGCGGAGTCGGAACCAAGGATCGTCAGACACGAAGCCGGGCTTGAAGAAGACCTTGTCGCCGCGCTCGTTGGTTTTGCCTCGGGACCACGCGTCCAGCTCCTGCGACGTGTACGAGACCCCTGTTCGCGGATACGTGAATGCGTAGCTCGTCTCCGGTTGTGCTGAAAGAGATGCCGAGCTGGAAGAGAGCTGGGGCGGTGTTGGCAGATGTGGTTCATCTGCAGATACCTTTGTCCCATCGATTGCTCTCGGGGGGTTCGAGTCTGATAAATCCGGCAGACCTTGTAGCCCTTGCGTCATTTCCTTCGAGTCTGTCATGGTGGGTGAGGCATTCGTGGGCGATGTGTCTAGATTCAAGGTCAGAGATCTCGAGTTTTCCAATCAGTCAGGTCAAAGTATTTGGAGGGGAAGGTCAGAGAAGACACCCAAAGCGACGATATACAGATCTCAGACACGCGATAGTGAAAGACTAAACCCCACAAGACGATGGAGTAGGGAGTCCTGCTCGCCCCGAGACGGCGGCGAGACAGATTTTGAACTCAGAGAGATCGATGGCTGCGAATAACGAGATGAAAGCCGGCTCTCACAGTCCAACTCAATGACTTGGAACTTGAGGGCATTGCCCAAACCGCGGAAAGTCTATTCATGAGTGACTTACGGGATTGATTCTTGGGTCGTCGCTCGGAAAACGAGCTGAAGCCCATCGCCGCGCGCATGGCAGCTTCCGTATCCACGTCCTCGTCATAGGGCGGATCCGGCGGCTCAGGCATGGTGGTCAGTTGTCAAGCCGTAAAGCGAAAATGTGCGGGCTGAAATTCGTTGGAGGGGAAGAATCGATGAAGTTCAAAGTCTGAGAGCGGAAGAGGAATCAAATCAAATGACGCGTCTGACTGGCGCCGAATGTTGACACTGACGTCATTTCAACGCTGGCCAACTGTGACCATCTCGCCATCTATCTCCATCGATTTGAAGGCAACATGGATCACTACCTAATACGATCCTTGCCAGCTTCATGCAACTTCCTTCCAATCCGCAACTATCATGCTCGCTCCCTTCTCTGCCACCGCGTATACCGCTGCCTGGTGGTGCGTCGCGATGGGTGAAGGAAACACACTAGCATCCACTACACGCAGTCCCTTCACGCCCTTCACTCGCAGGCGAGAATCCACGACTCTTCCCATCGCACACGTCCCGCAAGGATGAGACCCAGTCTCCGCAAATACACCCACTCTTCGATCAATGTCTTCGTCACTGGACTCGTGACTCAGCGGAGGAAACCCCGGGGGCGGGACTTCGGCGGCGACAAACGACTTGCCCGATTCCGTCGCCAGGAGGACGCGCATCTGTTTTCGCAGCGCGTCACGGAAAATGGCTCGATCAGTCTCGGTGGCATAGTAGTTGGGGTCTATTAGAGGTGGGGTTGCCGGGTCCGCGGACCCAAGTGAAACCGAGCCCCTGCTGAGTGGATACATGTTATATGCGCTTGTGCATATCAGCGATCCATCGTTCGAGAGACCCAGTTGTGCGAGTAAAGCCGCCGACCGCCCTGCCATCCACATGGTGTACATCTCCTGATGGACTGCACGGGGGTTGAAGAGGTGGTGGTCAGGGATGCCGTCCTTTGCGAGAGCCTCACGGATGAGCTCGTGTGGAGCCTGTGCCCAAACGAAAAAGTCGACGGGCACATTCGAGATCAGGTCGTGGTCCGTCATAAGTGGTGACCCGAATGCCAGTCCTCGTTCTGGGTGACGCAGCCGCCAGACTTGACGCAGGGCGATATCATCACACAGGCCCTGTCCAACCGCGGCGCCATCCACTTGGACATTGATCCCGTGTTTTCCCAGCTGAGAGGCCGGTCCTATCCCGGAGAGCAGCAAGATCTTGGGTGAGTTATAAGTCCCTCCGCACACAATCACTTCTTTCCTGGAAGAGATAAACCTGCCGTCTGCCATTTCCACCCCTGTCGCCTTTGGCTCACTGTCAGGGCCAGCTCTCTCTAGAATGATCCGCTTCACAAGGCTGTTTGTCTGAATCTCGACCCCTTCAAGATTGTACGCCTTGTGTGGGAATTGCCGCTCTGCACGGATAAACGTGGTTGCCCAGTCACCCATCCCCAGAGGATCTCCGCTGTTGACATCTGGATTCCATTTCAGCGACGGATCCAACTCTTGCCAGGCCCCCTTCATTTGCTCGCACAACGGGTATGATTTTCCGTGCCGGATGTCTTTGTTCAATTTGATCTGCATCGGACCGTCCGAACCATGGAGACCCAGATCTGCATGTTTGGAAACGAAGGTCTCCGACTTACAGAAGTAAGGCAGGAGAGAGGAGAAAGCCCAGGAATCATCTTGGAGTAACTCAGCCCAACGATCGAAGTCGACGGCAGGACCTCGCAACCACGCTCCTACATTGATCGCGCCGCCACCGGAAAGAGCACGGCCAGCCCAGGCCTTCTTAGGACTACCATCCAGATGTCTCTGCGGGACAGTGTCGAACGCATAGTCGATCTTTGAGCCCCTCACCGTGGCAATGTTCTTGACGTATTTCGCCGGTTCGAAGTCGGACTCGTCTTTGCCAGCTTCCAAGACCAGAATGCTGGCTTTGGGTAGGGAGGCACGAAGGCGCGAGGCAATGACGACACCCGACACGCCACCACCTACAATAACATAGTCGTGCGAGTTTGATACGGAGCCCATGCTAGGTCGCAAAGAGGCGGGCTAGAATAGGTAGGTCTAGGAACAGATTTGGTGAGGGCCAAGGTGGGAAATATGGAGTCAACATCTCTTCGAGCATGCTGGGTCTTGGAGGTAGATATCATATCCTGTTGGCCATGTCTCCCCTCGGAATGTCTCGAGGAAGGTCGAGCGTTGATCTGTGCTGGGTGTTCACAGGGACTAGTGCTTAGTGGGACCGATCCGAGCGGCCACCTGCCTGGTAGGAGTCCCTCTCGTCATATACGTTCTGTTGTGGTAAAGGGTTGTACCCACCATCAGGCCTATATCCCGCAGAATGTATTTTCCAAGACTCTATATCCCGGGCAGGGCTGCTGATAGGTGGCCTCGGCAACCGATAGTCCTGACAAAGACACCAGTTCAGATCAGCTTATGCTCTCCTCTTTTGCTCCACATGGTCGAAACGGAAAAAGGCCTCCAGCCTCGTGTTTTCTATAGTCCACGTCGCAGAGCAAGCACGAGGTGGTGTGACCGGATAGTCCGGATGGTCGTCCCCTCTCAGACCGTGTTGCGGGCATACCTAGCCCTACGAGGAAGGAATGTGAATCACAACTCGCTCCTCGTCTAAAATGAATCGACAAAGAATTCAAACCGTTACTAGGTGGTGACTATCGATGGCTATCTCGGGGTGTTCTTACTGGGTATTCAGCTAAAATATATGTCGCGGCGGTTGTCCTGTTGTTGCGCGCCGGAGTATATACAGATATTCCAGACCTTCGCTCACTGCTGTAGTTGTTTTGTTTGTGGAGAAAGTATCGACAGTTCGTACCGTTCAGGCGGATTAAATATCACATGAGTCCTACGTGAGTCGGGCTTGGGGCTTGTACAGCCACATTTGAAGTCCGTCCCCTTTTTGTTCAGGAAATGGCAAAGGTCGAGCGCGCACTACCAAAGATTCTCTCTGACGGTAAGTAAATTTAGTCTCTCAGCATTTTTTTTCATGTGGTTCCCCTGAAGACCACTGCGGTTGGCAGTCAGTTTCCCAGGAAGAAGCTCTCCAGGTCGACCCCGTCGAGGTCGATTTCCTCCTCGGTGAGGAACCGCTGTGTCTGCCAGGAGGCCAGGTCGGGCCACAACTCCTGCCCCTGGGCCAAGGCCGCGTAGTTGGGATACAGGACGCCGCCGCCGCCGCCGCCGCCGCTCAGCTTCGACCCGTCCTTCCGGCTCGGGCGGGCTGTGCCTTGATCGACGACGTCGCGAATGTACTGCAGCATCTTGACGTACCGCGCGGCCAGGGGGCTGATCTGGCTCGCCTTCTTGAGGAAGTCCATGCCGCAATCCAGCGCGTCCACGGTCTCTCCGCGCTGCTCCGGTTCGATGACCTCCGCTTTGCTCTTGTCCATGTTTCGGACGTGCAGCAACACTCCCATGGACGTGAAAATGTCTGGAGCACAGGCATTTCCGAACAAGTCAGCATTTGTCAACAGGGATCGTGGAGGGGGGGGAAAGGGTCCTCGTTGGGGCGTACAGTGTAGGTTGTACCACAATGGGTTGAGGAGCTGCCGATGGTATTGTTCGTGAATCATGCGGATGGTCTGCCGGGCGGCGGCCAGGCACATCTGCGACCCGGCGACCGCAATGGCACGAACGAAATCGTCGTCGGGGTCGTCGCGGCTGAACATCAGCAACAGAGGGCGACGTAGGAGGATTTGGATCTGCTTGTATCTTCGAATTCCGTTAGCAAGGGAGAATCCAGCAGACGAACAAGGCGGCCCCTGTGGAAAGTGAGCACGACGTCGTTACCTGATCTGCATAACGGTCTGCTGGCGCTGGAAGACGGTGCTGGCCCAGGTTGGAGACTCTGGAACCAGGTGTGCGGGCTTCGTGTTCCACCACGACCGGAGCCGGCCATCTAGGATGATCAATTCGGCGATCTCGAGCTCCTGTTCTGGGACCAAAGGATCTGTGCTTTCCGACCGAGAGGGTCCACGGTGTGCAGAGTAAAGATGTCGCAAGATGTCGTCAATCAGGCGTGCTAGTTTGATTGTATGTATGAAAAACTCGGTGGTCGACGGCAGGTAGGACGGTTGTCGAGGGGCTTGGATGTCATTTTGTATATACTGGTCGTCCACCGGTAACGGATACGGAACGGCGAGGGCGTCCTGCAGATGTAACGAGGGAGGTCTGCCAAATTTCATACTCACTGTTCGATCCAGGGCAAAGCATCCCCACCACACCCTCTTCCGGACCTCCTTCTCCACGCTGGAGACCGATAGCGAGTCTGGATTCAGGTGTAGGCCGATGCTGAAGGCGGTTCGGATCATGAGACCTACCAGGTTCCAACATTCGTTCAGATCAAGCGTGCCCTGTAGGTAGTGACAGAGCAGCAGAAGACCTTGCATGAGCTCCAGGTTGCCCCGCTTGTACACCTGGGCCAGTATTATGGTTCGGGCACGGTCTGAGAAAGGGGGCACGGCTGCTGGGACATCACTCGAAGCAAGCTCGTTGTAGAACTCGTAGCCCAATGTGAATACTGCATTGAGCAATGCGTGCCACGATGAGCGTCGGGGAGCCTGTTCCGGATCTGCCCACATGTTCTCGTACTCGGCTCTAAAGCTGCTTTCGTGGAGAAAGGGATAGATCAGATGGAACCGGTTGAAGTATACATCGACCAGGTTGTCAGCTAGATGTCGATCTGGGAGTTGCGTCCTCATTGAGTAGACGGTGTCTTGTCCCCCTTCGTCATGGCAGCCTGGAGCAGTCGTCGACGGCGATCCGCTCGGCTGGCCATGCTGTAGGTGGACGCCCGGAAGGTTTTGCGTGTCGGGTTGGACTTTTGACACGAATGCAAACGTAGACGAATCGCCAAAATAGCCATCAGCACCTGCTGAGTCGTCGGTAGACGCATTATTTGGGGCAAGAGTGTTGGAGCTGGGTGAGAGCGGGCGATCACTGTCATCAGGCCGGTCCGGCCTAGCTGGACTGATGTCCGATTGCATTCCGTCTCTAATCAGGAATGAGGCAATGGTCGAAGACATATCCGGTTGTTCGCCAGAAGGTCTGCAAGCCGAAACCAATTCCTGTGGGGATGTCTGAAGGCCTTGCTGTTTTCCGCCCGCTCCAGGCGGAATAGTCCTCAGCTGAGCTGTAGATTGACGCAAAGAAGAATTATTGTGTAGATTCGACAAGGCCATTGGACTGATCCCATCCCTGGATGTTTCATCAGCGTTTCATTTCGACGCTGAGCACGTGGGAAACATACCATTGGACTGCCGTAGACGGCACCGAACTGCTGTTCGAGGGAAACAACCCCGTCGTGGGTCTTTGGAGAGAGCTCAGATTCGGAGCGATGTTCGATGGATACTGACAGGCAATACGCCTGCTTCGACATCCCCCACAGACAGGCCGTTCGCCGTCACATCGGTGCTTTCGCTTCCGACATCCCAGACAGGCTTGCCGCGAAGGCAACCTCTGTCGCTTCGTCCGCTCTTCGGTCATGGTAATCTCGCCTGATCGGAGAGGCTCCAGGGGGTCGGCAGAAGCAAAAGTGATCAGGCACAGCAAAGAGGAGTCGGTATCATAGAGCGGAGGACCCAGTGGCCGGAAGCTACATGCTTAAAGCAGAAGCGGACGCCGCATGATGTCGGATTCGTGAAGCCGCGGAATCAAGATTCTCCGCGGCTCGGCACAGCCTCGTCAGCTCCAGGTTGGTTATACGGAATATCTGTGCGACACCGATTACGGACCACTTCACCTGAGACTTTCTGGTGAACCAGCTCGAATCTCTGGCCTCGGGTCCGACTCGTCCAAGGATTGCCACCACCAAGTGTGCCGTTACCGCAGATCATCCGTCACACCCGTTACGATTGCCTTCGTGCGTCGAAAACAAAACTGCAAGCTCTAGTATATTACTCCTTGCAAAGTCCAAAGAGAACAACTGTAGACGCAGCCATCAAGAAGCTCAAGGTGCAAAGACCTTACCATTGCAGTCATTATGCATAGTATCGCGCTTTTTGCTCTCATCCCCCTGTTACTGGCTCTTATACTGGGCAAGGGATATCAACGTTGGCGCGACTCGAGAGCTCTGCATCACATTCCCACGCACGAATTTCCTGATGGCAAGAATACAAGAGAGCGGTACATCTCCGAGCTTAAGGACTTACTCGAATCAGGCTACCGCAGGTACAACAAGTCTGGACGAGCGTTCAAAGTCCCAATTCCCATTGGCGGATACTCGGTGCAGTACCGCGTGATTCTCCCAAAGGACCACCTGGAGGAAATGAAACATTTACCGAACAACGTGTTCAGCTGGGCATTGGCATCAGCAGTGATCTTCGCCCAAGACTACACAGGTGCCCCGAATCGAGGGCCGTGGTCGGGCAAAGCCTTGAGGATTGGCATCCATCAGAATCTGGACAGCATTACCAATAAACTCAACGCAAAGATCGATGAATACTTCGGCCAACACCTTCCCCAGGACCCTTCGTCGCCGCACTCCATCAACTTCATGGACTTTTTCGTCCCCGCCATAGCCAATGTCACGAACGCTCTTCTGTGCGGCGAGGCACTGGCTTCGGATACTGAGTGGATCACGCAGACTGCCGACTTCGCCGTGAATCGCTACAAGTCGGCAGATGATGTGCGGTCGTGGCCGCCTTACCTGGCAACTCTGGTGGCCCCTTTCATTCCGAGTGTTCGGAGACTTCGACAGAGCCGGCAATATGTCAAGCGGCAATTGACGCCCATGTACGAAGATCTGAAGAGCCGCAATCTCCTGGGCATGGAGGAAAAGTCAAAGTATCGAAAAGGGTCCTACGGATTCGAGTGGCTATGGGGTGGTGCGCCGGACGACGTGACTCTCGACGACTTCTCCGACACGATGATGCGAACACTCATTGCATCGATTCATACTACTGCTAAGACCATCAGTGTTGCCCTGATTGACATGCTGAGTCAACCCGGCTATATGGAAGAACTACGCGACGAGGCACGGAAGGCCATGCGCCCTGACGGGAGTGTTGACATCGACTCCTTATTCAAACTGGATTGTTTTCTGAAGGAAAGCCAGAGACTTACCCCGGTATTCCTCTGTGAGTTGCCCTTATTCCCTTCTCTGAAAACTGAGCGTCTGATCTATTCGCAGTGACAATGAACCGAATCGTGACCAAACCATATACATTCCAGACCTCGGGGCTGAACTTGCCAGTCGGGACAATGACGACAGCTGCCACTGCGGCCATCGCGACTGATCCGGACACATTCGGACGCGACTCGAACGAGTTTGACGGACGGCGATTTCTTCGACTTCGTGAAAGCAACAAGGCCGGCGAAAGCGCTTTCAAGATGGGCATGGCGACGGAAGACTCCTTGGGCTTTGGACTCGGCAGTCAGGCCTGCCCTGGCCGGTTCTTCGCCGTGAATCAGATGAAGTTGATGTTGTCGAAGCTGCTCACCAGATGGGAGCTGACCCTCGAGAAAGACGGGAAGGAATACCGCGGTGGGAGACCCAAATACCAGTACTACGACTTTTCGGTGGTTCCGCCAAGCGAGTACGGGATGAAACTGAAGAAGCTATGATGGCTTTGCGGCTTGGAGGAGCTCTTGTATGGAGACCAAGGACAAACAAACGGGGGAACGCATTTCCCTGCACGATGTCCAGAATGCCAATCTATACCAATATACTCAGCGGCGAATCTTGACCTCTCCAAAATCCATGTCCGTTTTTTTCCAGACCTGAGCATCCTCCCATTTGATCTGAGCTGTGACTGTGCAGGCCTGAGCAGAGGTCCGCGTACCAGGAAAAGTTTCAACATGCTCCACCACGCTCATCTGGTATGATTGTCGAAAGTGAGTATATGTATGTATCTTAAGCCCCCGTCCTCCGACCCAAGGAACACCAGAACCGTCTCTGCGTTTGAGTATATCCGATTCATCAATTGCACCTGAGTGTTTCTTTCGGGGACATTGGACTGATCGATGCAGACTGGAACGATCCAAGGAGCGTGCGCACCAAGTCGACTTGTGGATGACAGGGCCAGGCCGGGCTCCCAGGGGCGTATACATGGCGCTGAGTCGGTCACCGAGCTCCCTCTCACCGTCACAAAGTTGAAGCGGCTTTCAATGTTGGACCATTGATTCAATGCTTCCAATGTTCGATTTACGGACACAATAGATCCTTGCCATAGCCGCAGACCCTCCGCGACATGAGGTAGGAATTTTCAGCATCTGGCCTTCGCCTGCCCTGTGATATGTATTTCAAAACCTGAGCCCTGTTGTCTCTTCCAGATATCACTTCAGATCCTCGTTTTTCTCAATTAGCGGTCTCCTCTGCTCGATCATCTCTGTAAGTCTCCAATTCTGCATCACCACGTCGCCAAATGGAACAATCCTCGCGATCAGGCCTCTCAGCGCGAGCTGCAAGCTTCTACTTTCAGGATACATATAGTATAGACTTAGAAGAAAATGTTGGCCATCCAACGCCCTTGGCCTATTCGATGGCGGCGCATTTAGCCTGCTTTGCGCGCCCGGTTGGATTTCCGGTCTCAGAGAGGCTAAAATGCAGAGATGTTGTAGCGGGAACGAGGTCGGCAGAATGGTCATGGTATAGGCTATAGCCGGCATTGAAACCTGGGGCTTAAGGATCGACGTTGGAATGGTCCATCCCCACGTGGACAGTGGTCGCTGATTGGCTCCCTGGGTGCGGGGAAGCGTCGGAGACTGGCCGGCGGCCGCTAACAAACTTCCCGCTTCCGGTTAATTACTTCACGCGTCCCCCATGGCCAAATTTGGTTTCTGGGGAACGACCCAAAGTATCTCGTTGTGAGTTGGAACAAAGTCATCTGTGAGCCTCTCCGGGCTTGCTCCAAATCGAGCGCGGAAGCCTTGATTGACGTACAGCTCCGTGTTGGAAATGGCACTGGCTCTGTCGTCGGTTTCGTAGCCATGACTTCTCCAGTTCATACTCCCCAGGCTAGCGAGGTATGAAGTAGGCAATCATCGATATAAACTCGGCATGTCCTGATGATTTGCTCATACTCCATTTCGGTCTCTCGCCCCTTCGCACGTTCTTCTTGACGCACCCATTATTGTCGTGCTCTTTGTCACAATGTCGATCGAGAAAACCAATCTCGAAAAGGAGATCGGTGTCACTCAACTCGAGACCGCCGACTCCCGCACCTACAGTGAGATTGACGCGGTCCAAACCCTAGGCAAGGCAGCCAAGGTCGTGCAGATCCAGGACTCTCGCTTCGCCGCAGTCATTGCCCGGAACAAAGATGCGGCCTCCCCGTTTTCCAAGTCGCTCCTGCGTCTGTACCCTATCCTGTTCGTGGCCTTCATGAACTCCGCGGCCAACGGCTTCGATGGCAACACCTTCGGCGGCGTGTCGAGCGTGCAGGACTTCCAGAAGCGATTTGGAACCAACGTCGCCTCGAACAACGGTTTCCTGGCGGCCTTGTACATCCTGGGCAACGTGCTCGGGAGCTTCATTGCCGGCCCGCTGGCCGACACCCTTGGGCGCCGACGGGGCATGTTTATCGCCAACCTTGTCGTCTTGATAGGAAGCGCGGTCCAGGCCGCCGCCATGCGTCGGAGGGACATGATCGCCGGTCGCATCGTGCTGGGCGTTGGCTCGGTCATGCTTGGACCGTCGTCTCAGTCTTACACGGTTGAGATCTCCCACCCAGCTTACCGAGGCGTGATGATGGGTCTATACAACGGGTGCTACTTCATCGGTCAGCGCGTCTCCTGCTCCGTGGAGTCTTGAATCCTCTGGCTTATCTGCCCAACAGGTGCGATCGTCTCGACCTGGCTCGAGTACGGCATCGTCAATGATACCAAGGGCGAGCTGAATTGGAGATTGCCTATGGCTGTCCAGGCGGCCCCGTGCCTCATTGTGCTGGCGTTCATCTTCTTCTGTCCGGAGAGCCCACGTTGGCTGATGTCCCGTGGTCGCGAGCAGGAGGCTCATGACATCTTGACCAGGCAAGTGGTGGCTTTTCAATCACAAATCAAAAAGCTCCAGGAGCGAGCTAACCACTGCGACATAGATATCACGGAGAGGGCGATCCGACTCACGAGATCGTCCAACTTGAGATGGATGAGATGCGCGACTGTGTCAACACAAGCGGCAGTGATAAGGTAAAGAGATCCCCCTCCCCCCCGCTCCTCCTTCAACCCCTCCCTAGGTGGTTCTCACGGAAGACTGCCGCCGCCACAAGTTCTCTGCTGACCATATGCTTCCTGCAACAACAGCGATGGTATGACTACCGCGAACTCTTCAATTCTCGCGGCGCCCGCCACCGGATGTTCCTCGTCCTTTGCGTCGGCTTCTTCGGCCAGATCGATCTCCCACCTACCTCGTATTACATGCCGCTCATGGCGCAAAACGCTGGCGTCACCAGCGAGAAGCAGCGCCTCCTCATGAACGCACTGCAGTCGCCCATCATGACCATAGGCACCCTTCTAGGGGTCAGATTTATCGACATCGCCGGTGAGTTGCTCTGCCCCTTCCCACGACATCCGGGACAAGGAACTTGTTGACGCCCCCTTCTCAGGCCGTCGCCCCATGCTCATGGGCTCCAGCAGCGTGTGCTCCTTCTGCGTGCTTATGCTCGTGATTTGCTCCGCCTTGCAGAATACCCACCACGGCCTCGGCCTGGTGGGCATCAGCTTCGTCTACGTCTTCCTTTTTGCCTTTGCGTTCGTCTGGACCCCTTGTCAGGCCCTGTACCCGGCTGAGGTGCTTGCCTATAATGCCCGCGCCAAGGGGCTGGCCATGAGCGGCTTGTGGCTGAACATTGTCAGTTTCATCAACACCTATGCGGCTCCAGTGGGGATGACGAATGGCGGATGGAAGTTCTACATCTTGTATCTCTGCGTGGACGTGTTGGGGATTGTATTTATTTATTTGTTCTTTGTCGAGACGAAGGGTCGATCGCTGGAAGAAATCGGTAAAAGAATTCCTGTTCCACCCTGCCCCCGCTTTTTGCCCCAAAAGTTATAGAATAGGACTGACCAAGAATTCTAGATGACATTTTTGCCGACCCACACCCAGTCAAGGCTTCGCTCAGGAAACAAAAAGTAGTGGTTGCCGTGGAGTAGTGGTGTTTGCTGGCCTGGCCATGAGCTGAGGTATCCTTCCACTGTCGGCATGATTGGCAGAGTATTTTCTGTTTACGACACATGGAATAAATTCCGCTTAAAGCATAACTTAGACATGCCATCAGAGGTCCGATTGCCTAGCTGTTTGCTCATCATCAAGAGACGGACATTCGTGATGAACCAATTTCTTTGAATTGATTAAAGGAGAGGAGATCTCTCCGGGCTGTGAGGCTGCAAGGTTGCGGAATGTGGGCGAACGTGCCAAGACTCTACTTGATGTACTAAACCTAATCGGATTTAGTGAGTGTCAGCTATTTTACTAGACTACGCAGCACAGCGCCCTAGAGAACAGTAGCTACACCACGAATCAATGGTCGCTGTGCTTACAGTCGTGGTGCCCAACAAGCCATCGTTTAGCTCTTCTGAATAACGGATATTGCCACGTTTCAAATCAAGAACTTTCCTTCAAAACAAACACATCAAAGTTTCAAGTATGAATCGGCTGACCTGCAAAGCTGAATAATTCCCTCTCTCTCTCTCTCTCTCTCTCTCTCTCTCTCTCTCTAAGAGCGCGGCTCTAAAACTTTCAATGGCTTGAAGAAATCCGACGGTGTGCGTGAAATCAGCCAAATGATGGCTAGCCCTTATAGGAGCGTGCGCAGGAAGAGTCCCAAGAGATTCCGACAGACTTTTCTGCTATTTCCTGGTCAACGCGAACGGAATATTGCGTCCGAGAACTTGCCCAGCGTCCGGAGCCTTGACCAAGGCGTGATCGAGCCCGTTCCACCACCTTCCTTGCCTGCGGAAATCTGGTTCCGCATTCTTGAGCCACTTGGCCCATTGGCACTGAAAACAATGCGGCTCGTGTGTCGCGACTGGGCAGAAATAGGCGCTGATTTCCTATTCAGCACTGCATATCTGAATAGCTATGAGAAGTCGTGGGCCGGACTTCTGAATATCTGCGATTCCAGCCACGCCCGTCGGGTAAGACGGATTGTGTGGAATCCATTAGTCTTGTATGAAGAATGTCTCGACGGGCCTACTTGGAGCCTTCGGTATCCAAACCTTATCAAAGGACTGAAACAATCAGAGATTTTCCGTCTTCATCAGGAATACGCTAAAGTGTATCAAGCAAGGAGAGGCCAGCTTCGATCTTCAGAGATCAGATCTGTTTCAGAAGCCCTGCAAAAACTTTCCAGTTGCCACGAATGCGTTATTTCGGACGATTATGATCTGGAAACGATCTGTCTTGATCCATACCTGAGAATGAGGATCCAAGGAGATCCAGACCTTCTCCGGAGAGCCGCTAATTGGGGGCTGCGGCCCCGATGGTGGTTGGAGAATGGTGAAATCAGAGACATCTTACGCACTGGCGTAGAACTGTTCAAATTGGTACAAAATTGTGCCGCTATTGAGCGACTCTCGGTGAACTATTGGGACGAGAACTGGACGAACATGGTTGCAGAGGATACACGCCTCGGGGGATTAGAAGGATACAAAATCGACCGCACTTCCAACCCAAACATTCAAAGCATTACACTCCATTTAAAATATTGCAGGGGTAACTGGCTACCATTCGATCGGTGGGATGTGCGAACCAACTTTCAATTTACCTTCGGAGGTCTCTTCTCGTTCCCGGAGCTACGAGAATTGTCCTTCGAACCCGCATACACCGACCCCGGCTTGGGATTCATGGAATTTGTGAATGCGCTAAAACGAGCAGAGGAGACTGATTCTGAATCTCCGGAAGATAATGACGAGGCTATAGACAGTCCTCGTGAGTCGCAACGAGGTTACAAAACACTATCCGACTTGGAAGAAGCATACTCTCGACCGGATGGCTTTACGCTGGATATGATGTGCTCACTCACTGCCCAGCTGGATCTCGGACTCGTCAAGTTGTCCAAGCTGACCAAGCTCTCCTTGACGAATGTGACACTGGATGTGAGATGCCTTCTTCTCTGGCTATGTGAACAAGAGCAACTACCTCTTTCCGGGTTATCAATTCACTTGCAAGGCACCACGTTTCTGTTTGACCTCGACCAAGAGACCATTTTCTACGCACTTGCTCAGCTCAATGTCAACTTGGCTTATATTCCGGAAAATACCTTCCATTACCTCCCTTCACCAGATGCCCGCTTCGCAGAGCCTTACTACGGAGCAAACACGCTTGAGTGTGTTACCCCGTTCTCCTCCGTCCGGAATCTGTGCTGGTCAATGTATGATATCCATGAGCTAGTACGGAGGGGTCTTCCAGCGCAAATGCCGGCATTCCCACTCTCGGGAGGAAAGGTCACTCCAGGACCCGTCGAGATCAAAAGACGCCCCAGCAAGTTCTGGTCCATCCAGAGAAGCTACCAGCACCGAGAACCAGACGTCCAACTTTTCCACTACTGCATGCCTGGTCCCGAAGGCGGCATTTGTGACTGGTTGGATGAGCGGATTTACCGCACAGAGTTGCCAAGGGCACTGAGTCTCCTCATGTTCAACCCGTTCTGGGATCGTGATCCAAACCCTTCTGCCGGTTATTTTGGCGAAGAGGTCGAACACGAGATCCTGGTTCACACCACAGAACTCGACCAAGAGACCACAGAACCCAAGGAGCAAGAGCAACAGCTCGTTTTGCAATACGAGGCGGAGTTGCTCGGGCTCGATATTCTGGAGCAGCTTGATCTTTTGAACTGATGAAATAGCAGCATAGGGGCATCCGACCTTGTCAGCTATTAAGAACATTAACACTGACGCAGAGATGAATGGTTGTCGCTTCGATCATACGAGAGCGGAGCCATTGCCGAGCAGCAGCGAGCATACTGCAGATGTAGGTCCCGGCAGCGTTACTCTGTCTGTATGCAGCACAGCGTGCGGGCATCTTATTCAGTGAGGTCGTTGATAGGTAGGCTAGAGGCTATATCGCGATGTTCGAGCACTGCCAAGGCAGACAACACGACTGCGCCACACCTGACTAAATCATTGGGTAATCAGCGCGCCGTCACGTGCAGATCCCCGTGCCCCGCGCCATCCCCAAAGTAATGGCCCCAAAACAAAAGGATGGCGGGTTTCGAAGCCCTGTTGCCCGGTTTGACGCATTCTAACCCTGAATTCCTAATTTCTCCCCCTCTTGCGACAGCGCACCTGATCGACGCCCAACCCTACCAGTCGACATCATGGTTGCCTTTGGAACAATACTTGTTTCGCTTCCTGCGTTCTTGGATTTTCTCTTTCCTCCTGCCTCACCGTCCCACAATCTCAATCCCAGCCCTGCTTCTCTTGAATCTCCCCCTCGTCTGGTTTTCTGCCTCGCCTGGTCAAAATGGCCTTGACAGACCTCGTCCTCCTGGTCCTGCTGTGCACCGCGCTCGTCTTCTCCATCATCGAGCTGGGCCTGTCCGCCGACGCGGTGGACCTGAGCATCGGCGCGTCCGTCGCACACGACCGCTTCAGCTTCGTCGTCTTCTGCTCCGTGTGGACGCTCCTCCTGGCTTCCTTCTTCATCTTCTTCCCATACTTCTCGTCGCGCAGGGACACCGAGCGCTTGATGGCGCCCTTGACCATTGCGCTCAACGCGGTGACCATGATCTTCTGGTTGGCTGGGTTCGCCGCCGTCGCGGACCTCTTTGGCGGCGGCAATCCCCAAGGAGTGGCCGGCGCGCTGTTGGCTTTTGCGGTCATGCTTTGGTAGCTTTTGGCCTCTCCCTTTCTCCCTGGGGTCACGACGGCGCAACGTGTGAAATGACGTGAAAACTAACATCTGGTGTGTGCCCCGATCTACAGGCTGCTCTTCCTTGCGATCCTCATCCTTAATATCCTCACGGCGACCGGCGTCCTTCGGAGCGAGAGAATGGGCCATTCAAGATTGACAACGGGCAAGCCTGCTGCCACTGTGTAGCTGTCCTCAGTGAGACGAATCTGACAATCAAATTTGAGGGGTATCACACGGCAAAATGCGTTTAGTCCGTGGGTGATGGCACCGAATTGGTCTAGGAATGGGAATAGTTCGTTTGACGAATAATACAGAGAGAGAGCACGAACTTCGTCCTCGACGGGGGCCTCTTAGTTGCCGCCTTCCGCTCTGGTTGAACCAAAGGCACCATGTCTCCTGTGTGTTCGCGCCCCATGACCAAGACGATAGACTGTGGCATCGACACCAGTACCGTACTAATCAAAGAATAGCCCTAGGCTTGGTGAACGGTGCGCCATGTCGTGAGGGGGCCTCGTATCGTCAGTAGACAGTTTGGTGGCATCAGTTTTTCCTTCCTCCATCCGACCCTCCTTTTCCCTTACGCCTCGCCAACATCGTTCCGTCCTCCCAACCGACTTCGTCAAGCCCCGAGACTTGCCTTGTGATTCGAGGACCTTCCTGCCCTGCCACTGGCGCTTTATGTTGATGACAACGATATCAGGTGAGAGCTGCGGGAGCTTGCGTGAACGGAAGTAACGCCCAAATGTTCCTTCCCAAGAGAGTGAGTGGTAACTCGACGGTAGTAAGAGAATGGAATAGTCACTTGTACTGTTCCAAGTACGATATGAAGTTGAGGCGCTAGTTCCTGGTAACGCTGGGTTCGTGAACGAAGTTTGACTACGAAGGACTATAGGGGTGGGTGTTAACCCAAGTATATACGCCCGAAGGCTGCTCAGTGTGCTCTGTCTGGCTCTACTACCAGAGCTACCAGAACCTTCGAATTCTAGGCCTACGAATTACTACATCCCTCCTCTCCAGGCTGGGAGTGCTGTACGCCCATCGAAGTCCTTGGAGAAACCGGAAGAGTGAAAGTCCGCCAATTGGACAGCAACCACGGGAATCAGACGAGGAACAAAGATCTGAGGATGTGGATCTCTGTGGACGACCATATAAGATTTCCATTGGCTGGAATGGCTATCGGCAAAGTGGAGTCGCCATTTTCTTGGCATCGGCGTCGTCGGTTCGGCTCAGAGTCTCATGTCGGAATGCTTCAAGCTCATCTTCCATGCCATTGTGCAGGCATCTAGCACAGTCGATTCGAATGCAGGGCTCCCGAGTCAAGACCGTCAGCTCCAGAAGACGTGCCGGCGCGTTCCATAGTAAACATCCGCTTCCAAACTGAGGATGCTTCATCAAGAAAGCCAGTATGGTTCACATCCCGACTGCTAGCTTGGAAGAACTTTTGCTGACCTCACTTATTGGTCTCTTAACAAGTCTGCTATACTGACTCTTCTTTGGTAAATGCTATAGAATACTCTCTTCCGATACAATGAGCTCTGTGCTAAAGCCCCCGAAGCACTGCGGGCTAGCATCACTCTTCGGGTGGGATTTCTTGATGCTCGTCTTGCTCCTTTGTTGGCTGTGTTGTGTTGGAACTGGTGATGTTAGATGTCCAGTCATAAAGCTGCCATTAAAATCCGGACTGTGGATTTGAGGGCCTCATCAGATAACGAAGTTCTCGAGACTGCTTGGCGCAAAAAGCTCCTCTGCCTTGAACCGACGCTTTGATAGGCCCTGCGCATAGTGATAGTCTAGGAACTTGTCAATAACCAGTTTGTTCTCGTAGAATCCATCCTTCCAGTATATCCTCTCTCCCATGAGCTTCCTTGTTTCATTCAAGTGATCTTCGAGCCAAGGCAACATGTACTTCAGAGCCGCGCGATCTTCCAACGCCTCGTACCCGATTTCTATCGACTTGGCGAATGCCTTGGTCAGCGTCTTCGCAATCCAAGGGTTGGCGTTGTAGACGCTCCGCTTGATGGCAATAGTGTGCATTATGGGGAAGATGCCGGTGCGTTTGAAATAGTCTGCTTCGACAGCTTTGAAGTCTGGGAAGAGATATTGCACATCGGGCGACGTCTCGAAGCTGGATGGCTTCGTTGCGCTGAAGATTGCATCAATCTCTCCGTCTGCTAACATCTGTGAGAGGTTCTTGCCTCGTTGGATCTGCGTCACTGAGACACTTGCGGGTAGGTCGTGGGCCACTTTGCTTTTCCTTTCGGTGGCGGACGGCTCAATGGCCCCGGTGTAGAACTGCACACTGGTGATTGGGACGCCAAATTCTTCCTCCATGATACCTCGCTGCCAGACAGATGCGGTCACTGGGAGATGTGAGCGACAAGCTTTCCATGATTCCAGGGCTGAATTTGTGCTGACATACTTTGGTATTCTGGAATGCCAATTCGTTTCCCCTTCAGGTCACCGGGCTTGTTTATGCCGGACTTTGCGTTCACATACATGTTCTGGTGTCGGAAGAACCGCGATGGGAAGACCGGGATCGCGATGAAGGGCGGATCATCTTGGCCCAGCGTCAAGACATATGACGAGAGCGACAGCTCGCAGACGTCGAATTCCTGGAATCTTAACTGCCGGAAAAACCTGGACCGCGTTTAGAGCCACCCTTTCTCGCGATCGGACTTCAATGCTCGTACGTCTCCTCGACACGATAATTCAGGAAGGTCAATTCGATGCCCTCGGGGCGGACGCGGCCGTCCTCGATCGCTTTCACGCGATCATAGTCCCAGCACGCAAACGATAACCTCAAAACCATGATGGCCGGGTTTGTTGCTTTTGTTGACACATTCCTCCATGAGTCGGATCGGCGTCGCTGCACGGCCGCATATATATGTGATTTCTGGTTTCCGTCCCGTGACAAACGAGGCTCGACCAAGATCGGTATCCAGTGGAAGTATTCCTGGCGGCCAGGGCTGCGACTCCGGCTGCCAAGATCCACGAGAGTCGGCACTTTCGCTTCTAACGCCCCTTTTTCTTTTAAGAGACCATTTTCTTGTTCCTCCGATAGCGAATCAACTGCTGCGGCTGGCCGAGGAAATCGTGGGCAAAAATGCGGGGTAGCAGGCCACCCAGAAGACTTGGTGCCCCGGTGCCGATTGCTTTAAAAGTCGACGAAGGATGGAGGCGCGGAGTTTGGGAGCCGAACCGTCCCCGAAGACGTTGTCCGCCATATGATGCTTTCAGGCCGTGATGCCGCTATGCACAGGCTACAGTCTGGCAAGGCGTGTAGCAGTTGCCGGAAGCGAAAACAGCGCTGTGACGGACTCCATCCACAGTGTGGGAATTGTCGCAGCCGGGGTGTGGTTTGTCACTACCCATGGATAGATCAGCCTCCAACTGCCGAGTAGGTCGAGCTTCGTTAGTTGTCCTCATTTGTTAATCACATTTCCAGACCTCCGAGGTCGGACAACTTCGTGTCAAATGCTAGAGACAACAGCGATGAAGAAACCTCCAATGACCCCAGTCGACCCGATACCGCCCCTGAAGCGGCCCGATCTACGACAACGCCTCAGCTTCGCCATGATTTTCAAGCGCGAGTGGTATCTTCTGCCGTACATCCATCTGATACTTATCCAGTGAGCCTCACCAGCCTTGTGACAAATGCGGAAGACCATGGACAAAGCCGAATCTCACGCCAATCACCGCTTGTCGATGCAGCACGGCAACCAGGTGGGTTCTTCGGCGAGTCTTCTACGTACGACTTCGTATCTAGGATCCGCTCTCGGTCTCCCGAAGCACGACATGTCCAAGGCCATAGCAAGCGACCTAGGATCGAAAGTCCTTATGAATTCTCGGTGACAGGTTCTCTTCCAACGCCACCAAATCCCACGGCAGCTTCGCTTGAGCTCCCACCAAAGCAATTGGCTGACCGGCTCCTCGACGCTTATTTCTACCGAGTCCACCGGCTATATCCATTTATCCATGAAGGCACTTTCAGATCAGACTACGAGCAGATGTGGGGTCGGAAAACGGAGGCGAGCAATCGACCCAGCTGGCTCGCCGTACTCAACATGCTCTTTTGCTTCGGGTGGGAATTCTGTGACAGGTCGAACATCAGCCAACCCGACAACGCTTTTGTCTTTGCAGCTCGTGCTCAGAGTTTGCTACTTCCAGAAATGCTGGCCGAAGCTAGCCTGGAAGTCGTTCAGGCTCTATTGCTCATTTGTCACTTCCTCCAGGGCACTTTACAAGTGGATAGATGTTGGAGCCTCGCGGGCCTGATGACACACACGGCGATCAGTGTCGGCCTCCATCTGAACCCTACCGCATTGCCGCTAACGTCGCTGGAGAAAGAAATGAGGAAACGTGTCTGGTGGGGCTGTATACTCCTGGGGTATACGCTGGGCATGAAGTTTGGCCGGCCACCGGTGGTCAAGATGGGGGATGGTTCTATTGTTGACCTCCCAGCCGAAATCGACGATCAATACATTTCATCCGCCTCTTTAGTTCCACGGCAACCTACTGGACGTCCGTCTTTGACCTCATTCTTTGTCCACACGATCAGAATGGCCCCTATCATCGAGCGGATGCTGCAGGAGCTCTATCTCAACGGTGTTAGTCGGAGCTTCATGAGCAACCTAGAAGGTGCTGCCGCTTCTGGTCCGACTGCAGCGCAGATTCTTGGAGCGACAGTCATCATCGACGGACAATTGTCTGAATGGTGGAGAACAGGGCCTAACCATCTGACAGGAGAGGCACAGTCTGACGAAGATGGCGGGCCCGAGTTCGCTCGCCAGCGCCTTGTCTTGTTGACAAGGTCAGGGCCCTGTTGTTCTGTTCGCAGGTTACCACTGACGCAAGCTTGAGCAGGTATCACCACATCCGCCTTCTGGTGCATCGGCAGTCCTTTTTGATATACAGCCGACACCAAGTCCACGACCCCTTTCTCCGATCGGTCGCTGCAGCATCCGCCGACATCTGCATATCGTCCGCTCGCCGCTCTATACAGTTAATCTGCGCGCCAGAGAATGTCCATAGGTTGAACTCTCTATATTACAACTTACATTGTAAGTTATCTTGGGAGCCTCGAAGCCGTGCGAAGCTTATTTAGACGCGGAAGACATTTTTGCTGCGAGCGGAGTCCTGCTCAGTCTCAAGACGAGAGACACAGCACTATCCGAAGCGATAGGGATCACAGAAGACGACGAGACACTCGGCCTCGGCATGGAATTTCTCCAAAGTGCTGGTCACAGTGTACCTCTCGCAGCACGATATCACTCTATGCTGAAGCAAATTCAGAGCCAAATTGGCAGGCCAGAAGCAAGAGGCACTTCGAGACTGAACCCCACGGCCGCTACGCCAGACACCACGGGTGCAATCGACCAAGCGGAATTCCCAATGAGCCGTACTAGTGATGAAATGGGCATGGCTGAGAACGTGGATGACATGAACGGGCTCTTTGGCTTTGAATTCCTGGACTCCAATGACCTCTTCATGGGCACCGGCATATGAAATATTCGGCAATTTATACGGCACAGTCAGAGTCTAGACCTTCGTGGGCATCCCACGCGTCTTCCTTGAGAGCGGGGTAATTAATAATATCATCACAGGTTCATGCCCTGGTCCTCCAAACTTCCTCTCCTTGGGTAATGTGCAACAGAGTTCATCACTTGGTACATCGAAACCCCTCCAGATCACGCCAAGTTGCCAAGTTAGTCCCGACCACTCCAGAAACGACCGGCCGTGAGCGTCCATCCCAGCCCGAAAGTTCCAATTAGGTTCACCTACTGATCCAAGGCTAGGATTTCGACTGGCCAATTAGATACAACTTGTAGTACGGACAATGTCTTGAGATTTCGAGTTGACGCTTTTTAAATAGATGGGTTGTGCTGATCCTTGGTCGTGAAAATAGGATGAACCGTCCTGGGATATCGAGCACCCCGCGCACCAACTCGGTCTCTGGGGCGAAGGGCTGTCCGGAATAACCCCATCGACAATAAGCGACAACTAAAGAACAGCCACTGCAAGAGCAGCAGCTATGGTTGCAGCTCCCGTCGTTGAGGCTATGCCAGCATTGGAACCGTCGAGTGCCAAAACGGTGTCATGGCTATCCAAAGAGGTTGATTTCGACCCCTATGCTCTGAAATCCAAGTATTTGGCCGAGCGAGACAAGCGGCTCGACAACGGTGGCTTCAACCAATATCGGCCCGTCGAAGGCTCGCTCTTGGACTACGTCGAGGACCCGTACGTCACGCCTGGCTTTGCCCGCGATCCCGTGGACCTGGACTGTGAGGTGGTGATCATTGGTGGCGGATACGGAGGCCAGCTGGTCGCGGTGCGCTTGATCGAGCAGGGAATCAACAACTTCCGGATTATCGAGAAAGGCGGCGATTTCGGGGGCACCTGGTGAGCCTGCACGACTGTGGCGGGAGTTATATCGCGGCCGCTGCTGACTGACCATATCTTGCCCAGGTATTGGAACAGATATCCGGGGGCGCAATGCGACGTGGAATCCTACATCTATATGCCCCTCCTCGAGGAAACTGGCTATATACCCACGGAGAAATACGCCCATTCCCAGGAGTTACTCGCGCACTCTAGGAGGATTGGAGAGCGATACGATCTATATTCAAGAGCCCTCTTTCAGACCGAGGTGCTGGCCTTGCGGTGGTGTGCCTCGGAGTCCTCCTGGTCTGTTGAGACGAACCGCAAAGACAGCATTCGAGCACGCTTCGTCATCCCTGTCGCTGGTCCGCTCCACAGACCCAAGCTTCCCGGATTACCTGGTATCGAGTCGTTTCAGGGCCACTCTTTCCACTCGAGCCGCTGGGACTACGACTATACGGGAGGGAATCAAAACGGTGGGCTGAGCAAGCTCGCAGACAAACGCGTCGGCATCATTGGAACAGGCGCCACCGCGGTCCAGCTAGTTCCGCAACTAGGGGCTTGGGCGAAAGAGCTCTACGTGTTCCAGCGGACGCCGTCTTCCATCGATGTTCGAGGAAATAGGCCGACGGACTGGACGTGGGCCAAGACGTTGCACAAGGGCTGGCAGCAAGAACGAATGGACAACTTCACCATCATTCTCAGCGGCGGCTATCAGGAGGAAGACCTGGTGGCCGACGCCTGGACTGAGTCGCTGGGGAACCTGCGGCCGAACCCGACGAAGATGAAGACGATGACTCCAGAGGCCTACGCCGCGGAGCTCCAGCTGGCCGATTTCAAAAAGATGCAGTCGCTGCGTGAGCGGGTCGACGCCGTGGTCCAAGACAAAAGGACGGCGGAGAGGCTGAAGCCCTGGTACAACCACTTTTGCAAGCGGCCCTGCTGCCACGACGAGTATCTCCAGGCATTCAATCGACCAAACGTCCATCTGGTTGACACGGAGGGCAAAGGGGTGGAAGCCATCACCGCGAAAGGGGTGGTCAGCAAAGGCACAGAGTACGAGCTGGACTGCATCGTCTACGCCACCGGCTTCGAGGTGGCCACGGATTTTTCCCACCGCGCCGGCATGGAGATCTACGGGCGCGACGGCCTGACCCTGACCGAGAAGTGGCGCGACGGCCCGTTGACGTACCACGGCTGGACGACGCACGGCTTTCCCAACTGCTTCCTGGTCGGCAACCTGCAGTCCGCGCTCTCGGTGAACTTCATCCACCTCACGAACGAGCAGGCCAAGCACCTCGCCTACGTCGTGGCCGAGTGCCAGAAGCGCGGGATCGACTCGGTCGAGGCCGACGCCGCCGCCGAGGCGCAGTGGGTCGACACCGTCGTGGAGACGACCAAGATGAGGCGCAACCTCCTGCGCGACTGCACCCCGGGCTACTACAACAACGAGGGCGATTTCTCGCTGCGTGCCCAGCGAAACGCACCCTATGGAGGCGGCGTGCTGGCCTTCATCGACATCTTGAACAAGTGGCGCGAGGAGAACAAGCTCGAAGGACTAGATGTTAGGCGGTTGGAAAATGGTGCTCCGTGAAGTGGTGCTGCGTGAAGAGACTATCCGATAGAGTCTGAGAGACGAGATGGTCGTTGCATAGAATGGTGCTGTAGAGTTGTATACGGCATTGGCTGTTTGGCCAGGCTTAGATTCGCGTTATCAAGATGCATAGAGGGATATCCACTGAATTGACCCGGATAAACAAATAGATGTCCTCCATAGCACTCCTGGGTTTTATCAGAGCCAGAGAGACTGCCATGGTAAAAATCACACTTCCGCGCCCAACTTGCGCCTTTTCACTGGCCTTTCTCGACTGTCTTCTCCTTCGCCTTCCCTCGTTCCGGACTTCGCCCTTGGGACTACCAGAGTGTCCAGTTTCTTGCGGATGCGGCTCAACTCTTTGCGATGAGCCTGTGCGTCGGACGGGTGGTAAGACGCGAGCAGCTGCGCACACGCCGAGATCGTGGGCACGAGCTTCGTCCCCAACTCCGCGGCTGCGCCGGGAGATGCGAGGCCGGCGAGCTTGCGGCCCAGATACGTTTCCACCAGGTCCCTGTCGGCCACCATCATCGCGGCGAGCCACATTTGGCTGGGCGTGTAGAGGAAATACGCGTCCGTCATCTGGGCCGCCGTCGCCAGGAGTCGCTTGGCCTGGTCCGCGGCGGAATCGATCCTGGCTGTGGCGGAGCCCGTGGCGTTCGAAATGCCGCCGAGCTGGCCCTCGTCGGCCATGGTCTGCATTTCAATCCGGCCGCCAGCCAGGCCTTTCATGGGATGGCGCACGTCCAGGGCAAAACGGAGGCCTTGGAGCAGGACAAACTCCGACCCCTTGACGCTCTCCGCACTCACACCCTCGAATCCGCCAACAAATCTTGATAGCGGGAAATAAAAGTGATCCGCTTTCGTCGCGAGGTATAGAGCGCAAAGGACCATGCTTTTCGGATGATGTATCATCGGCGAGTTGGTGAGATAGAAGCGACGGAGGTACTGGATGGCCGTGGCCTGGGATCACGGGTAAGCCCCCGACCAGGAGACAGTATCACGAAGGTGCGTCACAAGCGGATGAGGTGCAGGTGCGTACCGTGATTTCCGAGGGAATCCTGGGGTCCATGGCCTCGCCGGCCTCGAGGATTTTCATACAGCCCCATTCCACAATCTTCGTTTCTTCCTCCACGGTGAGTGTCTGCACGGCGACATCGGTGTCGATAATATCCTCCCTTCTGTGAGGCACCGATCCCTCATCGCTGGCCGTTGAAGATGATCCCGTCGCACGGACTTCGCTGGATTTCTCTCTGAGGCACTTGGAAGCGAGGGCGTTGGTGTTCTGCCGTGTTTGAGCGAGATGTTGTTCTGTGTATGACCACAGTCGATATTGCGTCGAGCCTCTGTACGCGTCGTCCAAGATCATCCTCACATCAATGATCGCTAGATGACAGATGGTTTCTCAGCATTGATGAAGTTGTTGATTTAATGATCCCAGTATTCTAAATTACGGTGTATCGCGACATCAGCTTGAGGATGGAAGGCAGTCTTTGAGGAGGAAACATTTGTACGACGGTAAATGATTGGAACACACAAGAACCCGTAGATTACCCGGTTGCTAGAGGTATTGACATGTCGACCAGATTCTATCCATCAAAAGAGAAAGAGACAACTTTTGCTATGGCAATACCTTGTGCAAGAATGGACTTTTGCGACAGAGGTCTGTGGGTTCGTCACCCACCTGGTGAGGCGTGTGAGTTATGCGAGTTGAGCTTAAAGGCTGTCCTCATTCCAGCAGAATCTTGATGCTGACCTAGACACGCAGACAATCAAACGGTCCAGAGCGTCCTAACAGATCATACACTCAAATGTCTGGCATCTCAGGTGGTTCGAATTCGTACGGAAGTCCTACCTCGCCCACATACTTGTACAGGATGTGCTCGAGAAAGCCACCGAGACCGAGAGTCTGCGGACCGCCCTTGAGCTCCACCATCTTGACCGCCCCGCGGACGTGATGTCGGGACATCTCGATATTGCCGAGCAAGAGCTACAGGGTCGTCAGCAAGCCGGGAGAGCGAAACCATTCGAAGGGGGCGTTCCAAGCCTCACCTCGTCGGCGGCCAGTATTATGGCTAGGGCAAACGCGGAATCATCCACGGCCGACGTTCCGGCAGAGATAGCACGCCGGAGCGCCCGGACACAATCCACTTTGTATTGCAGGGTCAGATACAGATACATTTGTCGCTGCTGATGGACTTTCGACAAATGGCGGCTCGCGGCGAGGAAGATTCCCTTTAAACTGCCAGCGTCGGAAAGCGCAAGTTGGACCCAGTCCCGACTCCTTTCTTCAAGGTAGGTCACGCGGTCTCTGAGCATGACGCACAGGCTTTGCATGAAGGGAATGACCGCCGTCACATCTGGTACGGGTTAATGACCTGGCTCTCTCCTGAGGTTGGTAGTGCGGCCTACAGTGATAAAGGAGGAAGTGCTCGATGGGTCGAAAGGGGCTTGCGAAGCTCGCGAAAGGGTCTCCTCGTCCCGGCGTCAACAGTCCCAGGGGACTAGACGCGGCGGTCTCCTTCACTCCGGACGGGTCGGCACTGGGCGCTGGCACCTTGTGGATGGTCTCCAGAGCGCCGTCTCTGTTTCCGTGGTCTTCGTCAGGGCCTCGAGCGGCCTTCGCGGCTTGGTACTCCAGCGTGCGCAGCCGCCTTTCTCTGGCGTGGGCGGCGCGGGCAGCGTGCGAGTGCGCTCTCCGCTGAGTCCCAGCAGAATCACCGTCTTCGCGGTCTGTCCAGTTGATGAACTGGACCTTGCCTGTTCGCCTTAGCATGTTTGGAGGCTAATTCTGGGACAGATATTAGTCGCTCCCCCCGAAATTTATATGTCCCTGGAAAATAATTGGAAGGACCTGAGCAAACAGATGAAGCCTGATGTCCTAGCATTTGTCATCACGCAAAATCAGTGGAAATTGTCTGTCGATCGTGAGAGCCTTGCATTTTTGCGTCCGATTATTAATCCGCGTAAACGTGTGGATAGCATCCACCGACTTGCAGATGACCAGATTGACTTTGGCTGGTCTGCTCAAGGGAGTCTCGCACAAAGATCTGCATGAAACAGGGCTCTCGGTCTCAAGCACTTTCCCGCAGGTGCTCTAACTGCTACCGATCATCATTTTGGCAACACTAACCCTTCGATTCGTTTGCCGTCTATCTGAGTTTCAGAACGAGGTCAAGACCCTTCATAAGCAAAAGTACTGCCGTTTTTGTGCTTGCTTGAAGAAGAGAGCTGCTTGACTGAAGCAGCGACTTCGCCGAGTAACGACATGGGACAGTCATCGATACCGTCCGCCATACAATTCGCTGATCAAAGAAGCCTTCTACAGATCTCGGTGGAAGTTTGGCGCGCCCAGTTTGTCTCTCCATTGCCGACCCTTCCACATCAGCAGGATGATTCCTCCGTACAGAACGACACTGATCAGCGCCATGACAGACCACGCAATTCCGTAGGTGGTCTCCTCGGCGAACGGGATCTGTGAGGGTGGTTTCACGTCAGCGCAACTGTTATTGGTGAACGTGCCACTTGCAACGCACCATGTAAAAGCCGAGTGTAAAGGAGAAGCAACTCAGGCGCCCAAAGTTGAGCAAGGTCGAGACCTCTGCGTTCTGTGGCTTGTAACAATCTGCGAGGTAAGCATAGATGTTGGTGGAGACGATCTGGAGACCGAAGGCGGCAATTCCAATCCCCATGACTGGACCCATCCAGTGCGTCCGATACTGCAGACATACGCCCTCGATAATGACGCCGGCTGGAAGAAGGAAGAAGCCCGGCCACGTCGCCGTCAGCCTGACTTCGCTGGTGACATCGCCGTGGTGACGCTTCATAGAGAGGTATAGAATCCGGTCGCTCACTGGGCCGGCCGTCAGCTCGCCGATGACGGAGCCGAGGGTAGTCGACAACCCGATTGCCATGCCCACTTGCGCCGAGTCAAAGTGGTAGATTTTGCCAAAGGCCGGCGCCCCGGTGACGGCGAACAGGACGGTTCCGATGCCAAATGCATAACTGTAGTATAAAAAGCAGAAGAGCACCGAGGGATATTTCAGCATGATGAAACAGTGCGTGACGTCCCACAACCGAAGACGCCCCTGTCCAACGACGCCGTTGAAGGTGAAGAGAGACAGCCAGGACTTGGTGTGTCTCTTCGACTGACCCGTGACAGGATCACGGTGGTAGAGGGTTTCGGGCAGGAAGAAGCAGTTGACGAGCCAACTGACTGCAAGAGCGATACAAGGAACCCAGTAACACCACCGCCAGCTCGTGCCTTGAGCAGTGAAGCCACCACAGATGGCCGCGATGTGGGCGCCGTTGGTGATGCTTGAATTGCGTTAGCGAACTGCCCCCAGAGCACGGGAGGCAAGAACAGGACTCACAACACAACATATACGCCCATATACCTATTCTCAAGTGTCAGGATCTGAAGAATGATGCGGAAAGATGGGATACGACATACCGGCCACGTTCGTGCATGAAGAACATATCAGACACTGCGGAGGCGCCGATGGCCATTCCTGGAGCCAACCCTACTCCGATGAAGACACGCGCGACGAGGAGCGTCCCCCAAGTCTTGGAGATAGCGCAGCCAGCGCCCGCAATGATTCCAACGATCGAAGTGAAAATGTAAACCGGCCTTCTTCCATAGACGTTTGATATGGGCGACAGCAGCAGGCCGATCGCGCCAGAGGTAACAATGGCTATGGTCGTGTTGTACGACGCCTCGGGGACTGAGATATGCATGTATTTTGCCAACGGGCCATACGCTGGATTCTGCACACCCCTTAGTACGAGGATGAGGGACTGGACCACCCCGATTTACTCACAATATAACCCTGCGTGAATGGGCCGAGAAAGGCCAGGAAAGAGATTTGGAACAATGTGGCCAGCTTCCAGAAACGGCTCCAGTTCAACGGATCTTTGTCACTGTTTAGCAAATAGCTTGAAGTAGGAGCACTTTCACACTTTTCGGACTCACCGAGAGGGTCATCAGAGGGCTGAGGGCGAAGGGGGTAGCCATGGGGATCAAGTTTCAACGCCACGTCCGGGCCTGAGTCTGCCGACGTTGTATCAGCTTGTCGAATGGACTCGTGCTCAGCGGTCCAGCCCTTGGTATCAAGGTTCTCGACACCCATGGTGCTGTATACTGTATGTCTTTCGGCCTGGGCTTTCGATTCCCCAACCTTGATCTGTCAAAAAAGGGTGGCACAAAAGTATCCCGTGTTGAATATGAAAGCAAGCTCGCCTTATATGAAGCTTCAGCTTAGGTTCTCATCGTCGCGCACTGGGTAGAAAGCGACGGATCTTGCTCGACGTTCTTCCGGGCCCGGATCTTGCACGTTCCAGCCAAGGGCCAGGCCTTTGTCCATCTTTCCTGGGGATTTTGCGGAGACTCCAGACTCCATGGTGATGATGGTTGCATCGGAGCCAGAGCCGCTCCGCAGAGCCTAGTGCCCGCGGCCTTGGTTTGCGCTCCATCTGCATCCCGCGTCAAGACAGCCGAAAGAGTTACCAATTAGAGCCTCTCGTCCTATGCTTGCTGCCGACGCCGCGGTGTTCTCACCAAGCTTCGGCCTTGGAAGGTTCTCAAAGTGCTGTTGCAGCGGAGTCAGGCTCGACGCAAGTCTTCTTAGGATCCTGCACTCAGTTAGACGGCCGATCTCGCCTTCAGCTGCTCCTACTTATTCCGATCGCTAGGTCAGGTTGTTTCTTGCCATGATGTCTTGAAAGATTCAATTGCGTAGCGGGGTTGACCCAGCGAATAAAGCGGAAGCAACTTTGGTATGCTTTGAAGGGTGGAAGATAAACATCACCAAGAAACAACTTGCACACAACTTTTCTCCGAGTACATCTTGGCGCAGAAATCCTTCATGCCGCAACGTGTCTCCGGCGAAGAACTTGGAATGAGGCTGTCTCATCCCTGACCACCGGCACCAAGAACTTCTTTGCTCGCGCAGCTTCATTGCGGTAGGCGTCTGCGCTGAGGCTGTTGGACACTCTAACCCTACTCAAGGCGCTACCTAGGTAGGCAGACGACATTATGAAACCAAAGGGAGTAGAGCCCCTTCAGGACTCACACCGGCTCAGCCTTGTTCCAGGTTTGGCCAGGCTGTGATGGAATGCTTTTAAAAGACTCTGGGGTGGCATGCAAATCTGCCTAACTAGGCTGCTATCTAAACGACAATGTTGCTTACGCACGCGTTGGCCCCCATACCTCAGCCAAGCTACAGCGGTGAGATGCGATAAAATCTCAATTCCAGGCCTCTATCCTGGGAGTATTGCGAATGGCTTCCAGGAGAACCGTGTACAATTTACACTCGCTGCCATGAATCTGCTGCAATCGCCGAAACTCATTCCTATCAGAGCCGTTTCAGGTTTGTTCATTTCAGAGTGTGTATTTCACTCATTCAAACTTGAAAAGTTGCTGAATCTCACTCTCTAGTCGCTTCGGCGCTTCTTCAGCGAAAAATCTCGAAGGCCATGGTATTGTTCGGATTTTGTCAGTGTTGCAGCCCCACGAAAAGTGGCGACCCCGGAACTCTCTCGATGCTGGCACGCATATGGAGGTAGAGAGAAGCCCGGGGGGTGCCAATCTCGCAGTCAAGACAATCGAGATCGATGACGATCCCCTTGTTGATATTCTTCAGTACCTGGAGGAAGCCTGTGACTGGATCGAAGCTGGGCTGGGTCGAGAAAGTGATTGCGGAGGATATGTCGCTGGAAACCAGCCTCAGCCGGGTGTACTAGTCCACTGTAGGCAGGGCATCTCCCGCTCTGGAGCTTTTGTTGTGGCATTCTGTAAGTCCGTGTCGCGGCTTTGCTTGACCTAACCTCGTTTCTATCGACAAGTGAGCAATGCCAGACTGACATTTGAGATATTTCTTGAAAGTGATGCGCAAGTTCAAAGTTTCGTACTCGGCTGCTCTTACGCTGGCAAGAGAGTCACGTACCGAAATTTGTCCCAACAGTGGATTCGAAAAACAGCTTCGCGTCTGGGAATTCTGCCAGTACAACGTCTTCCGCGATGATGACAAGCAAGAGGATAAACATAAAGTTCGTAGCAAGAAGCAGTCATATAAGACGTGGCTGGCCGAGCGGGATAACCTGCTGCAAAGGGGAGAGGAGGATGTCAACCGAGCTAGGTTTTCGAGTCTGGCGAGCATGGCTGCGAGATTTGGGAGGAGGAGGCAAGAGGAGGCACCAGGCGAACAAGCGAAAGGCACAAACGAGGACGAGGGGAGGAAGAATGTAGAACAGAAGCAGCGGAAGGAGAGTTGGGAAAGGGTTCAGAAAATGGAACAGGATTGGAACGAGAGGTTGATTCGAGGTCAGGTCCATGCCGAAGGTGATGACATTAAAGGCCCGAAAGAGTGATTTGAGCTGTTCCCGAACCCCCAGGACCATGATGATATTAGGCAAACACTTTGTGAACGCACAAGTGCCGTCGTGGACGAGACGTCGAATTCCATCATTTCCCAATGATATGACAGAGACTTTTCGTTCCCTTCACTCCTTCTCGGACGGACAACCAACTTTGAGAGATCGGAACTCTGGGGGTTCAGAAGTGCTCTCTTGGATTCGCTCCTTTCTCGCTCCAGCATACCAAAGCTCGGTTCCAGTAGCAGAAGGGATAGTGAGACTGCTAGTGCGCGGTGGGTGGAACAAAACATCCACCCAGGATGCGGAGCTCCATCCCTGTGTCGAGAGATACTTAATCGTAAGAATTAGAGTCTCGGTCCTCGTCGTCGCTTGCATATGTGACACGGTTCGTGGATGTTTCGTCGATACTGGCCCCAGACGCACCGCACTCTTTCCCTCGGTGGTCTCCTACAATGATGCTCTGTAGTGTCACTGTGACCGCAGGTATAGTAGTTGAACCAAAGATGGCACATCTTGGCCGAATGAATATCTGGATGTACAATCTCCTCACTAAGATCGCGAAGAGGTGGGATGGGTTGCTTTCTTTCTCGATGAGAGTTTGTTCTCCAAGGCAGTTACTGTGTAGGAACTGTTGATGAGCGCCTTCTGCTCTGTAGCTTTTGAATGTGTCGCGGTGCTGCTGTTGATGTATCTGTGTCTGGAACTCAAAGGGGAAAGAACAAATGAAGAATGAAATTTTAGACCCGTTCATAATGGTGCTATTGTCACAGTAGACTGAGAGTGATATAAGCATGCATGTGAGATATGTGGCAGAAACCAGTCACTTGGTTGATGGGTTATTGAGTCAGGTCAACTGCAGGCTCTTCACTGCGGATCGATTCAAGTATCTCACCTCTTGGATACTGACTATACTTCACCAGAATAGCATTCTCCATACCTTCGGGGATTGCAATCTCGTCTAAACCGAAAATGGTTGTAGAACTCCTGATTTCAGCCAGAGAGAGCCAATAGGTCAAGTGTGAGGTTATGCTGTCGGCGGGTAACAACATCATCTGCTCCAAGCAAACGCACAGCTGGATGAAGGAACAGTCCCCACCGTGGTCTTCTGCACAAAAGTCAACATGTCGTAAACAGAAGTCAGCGTCGACTAGCTGATTGTCCGTTGCCTTCAGGTTGTTTTGGAGTTCTCCGGACGTATCAAAGCCATGTCGGAGATGTAAATTTCGCCTGTGAACGGGTTGGATACTTCCCAACGGCGAAAGCTGAAGATGAGATTCCCATGCACTTTTGCATGGTACCAGAGCGTGTGTCCCGAGGACTGACGCCCTTAGGTACTGTTCAATGTTGAATCCGAGGACTTGAGGTCTCGCTAGCAGTAGCAAACATCTTCCGCGTGCAGAGTCTGGATTTCTGGATCGAACCAAGCAGAAACGGGGCGAATTGTACGTTCCTTGGGATGATGGCAGATAGCTGCTGGACATCAGGTAAAGCGGCATAGGTTGCTCTCCAAAATGGTACCATTGCGCTCAGCTGTCTCCCACAGAGAACAGGTTCGGGTTTGGCGTTTTGCACCATCTCTTCTTGGACAATCTCCAACGTCTCCTCAAAAGCCGTTGTAGAAGACCAGCGGCAAATGGATGCGTGCTTTGTGTGACACTTTCAATTCTCCCCCAAACCCCGCGTTGATGCCGATCAAGTCCTCAGGGATGTGCGGAGATGTCGATCATCTCCACATGTATTGGTTTGGCTAATTGGAGTTTCCAATTCGATCTCAACCTACAGCGCCAACTGGCTTTTTAACCGGGCGAGGTATCACCACTTACTTGAGAGACATCTCCATCCACGTCACTCCTCGTTGTATCCAATACCACTTCATGACCTCCTCGGTCCAAATGCCGGCGAAGCGGCGATGGTCGGGGGACATTCCCAGGAAATATGCAGGATGAGTCCGAGAGAAGCGGGATCAAAATATGGCAGACGGAGTATTTAGAGCATGAGGATGATAAAAGGGGAGCAAGGAGTTTCTCTCCAGCTGCCTTTCACACCGCCTGAGCCCGCACCTCCACCATGAGACGCCTTATTCTGTTTCTTCTCATTGCCGTTGCGGCCCTTGCAGGCACAGCATGCATATCCAGCCAGAGCCTTTCGGTCACAGCGGGCACAGGCATATTCACGGGTCTTCTCAACCCAACTTACCCGAATGTTCGTGAATTTCGAAATGTCCCATATGCTCTTCCCCCGACGGGTGACCGCCGTTGGCTTCCTCCTCAGAGGCTTCCAGCGTCAAACAAGCACTATGATGCCACTCAGTATCCTCTCTCTTGCCCACAATTTGTGACCAAGGTGAAGTCGGTATGGAGTGAGCAGATTCCGGAATGGTTGATCTTTGATGGCGGTGAAAGCACCAGCGCCGGCTTATACGCATACGGGACCTCTGAAGACTGTCTCAGCCTGGCCGTTTGGACTCCGGCAAACGCCACTGCAGCTTCGAAGTTACCGGTAATTATGTTCATGACAGGAGGTAATTGACACTTCTGAGAGAATTTTTGGCCGTCCCCTAACAGCGATTCAGGGGGCATGGTGACTGGCGGAGTCGATATACCGATCCAAATACCTGCTGAATGGGTAGCTCGAAGCCAGAGCCATATTGTGGTAACGATCAACTACCGGGTCAACATCATGGGCTTCCCCAACGCAGCGGGATTGGCAACGCAGAATTTGGGGCTTCGAGATCAAAGAGCAGCGGTTGAATGGATCCAGGCCAATATTGCCAGCTTTGGCGGCGACCCAACTGCCATAACGCTATGGGGACAGTCAGCTGGTTCTCGTTCGACCGACTATTATAATTTTGCTTACTATAAGGATCCCATAGCACGCGGCTTTTTCATGCAATCCGGAACAGCGTTGTCAAGCACAGCCAATGCCGACGTCCAGGGCACCAACTTCACATTTGTTGCGCGCAATCTCGGTTGTGATTTTCCAGACAACAAGACTGCTGAGTTGGAATGCATGCAACGAGTCCCTGTCAGCGAGATCGAGAACTTTGTTGGTCAGTACCAAGACAATTCGAGCACGACAAACACTCATCAGGCCTCGATCGCTTTCACCCCGATTGCGGACGAGGACATCGTATTTAGCAACTATACGGCGCGATATCAAGCCGGTCAGGTTGCCAGAGTGCCAGCGATCATTTCAAACACTGCCAACGAGTACGTATCTTTGGCACCATATCCATTGGATAACCTCACCGCAGGTCCAAATCCGAAAGCAGTGTTGGCAGGCACCCTCAACACCGTCTGTGGCATCTCAAATTCGAGTCTTTACCGGAACGACCTGAATATTTCCACTTTTCGGTATGTGTATGGCGGCAACTTCTCCAACATCAACCCACTGTGGTGGATGGGCGCATATCATGCTTCTGATCTGGCAATGATGTTTGGGACCTATGGTATCAGAGCGGGAGAGATATCAAGGCTGGAGGCCGAGACGAGTGCCGCCATGCAAGACTATGTCCTCGCGTTCATCAAGGATCCGATCAATGGACCAAGGAGTGTAAACTGGACGGCGTATGATCACCACAATGATGGTGGCCAGATGATCCTATTTGGAGCCGATGGAAAGGCTATTCAGCAAGTGAATGGGACCTCCGTTGAGGGAGTCTGTTATGGCGAAGGCACTTATGATAGCACGCCTTGAGTATGATGGACCGTAGAGAGGCCAATGGCTCGTGAGCGACGCATGCGGCAAGGTAGTGGCGCCATTCCATGGCGCTTCTTTCGTGCTGCTGCTGAGTGAAGTCAGTGAGCAGAAGCAAGGATGCATAAGTAGAGCACGCTAGATTAATACATTGCATGCTCCGGGAACGAACGAAGATCCGGAGGTGGCACTTCGGCTGATGGCAACGTGTTTCAGCGGGGAGTTGCGCTTGGAGGAATTCGTCGTCCGCAGGCGGCCGAGGCGACAGGCGAGAGGCGCAGTCGAGCATCGGCGCTGATTGTTCCAGATCTTCCTCCCCCAAAGCAACCTTCGACCTCTTCTTTTTTTGCGGATCGACAGCATTCTTGTCCCGTCGACCCGGTCATTCTCGCGGCAAGATCGTTTCCTGGATGCATCGACGATAATGCGACAGTGAGTGGCGTCCCTCGGGACAGCACTCTTATCCATCGACCGCCATGGGTGATAAAGCCCAGTATGACCACCTGCCCATCCCTACCTACGAGGAGGCCACCTCGTCTCGTCCTGCTTCCTCCCAATCCAGACTCGGCCCAGAAGAAATCAGTGACGATGCTGAGAGGCAAGGCCTTCTGGGGTCCTTCGGGAACTATCACCCTCCGACCGTCGAGTCTGCGCGGCCGAGCCTCGATTCCCTCGACGGTATCGAGCAAGATGGGGAAGACGAGGTACGCAGAGAAATGCAGCAGATGGACGTGGAAGACCCTCAGAGCGACTCCTCCCACCGCTCGCTCCTTCGATATCGCCTGTCCAAGAGTTTCTCGAACCTGACCAACTCATTCTCCTCCCTAAGCCTCCCTTCCTTTCGCCAATACCTCTCCAACATTTCATGGCCGCGCATAAACTATCAACAATTCGATGCGAATCGCGTCGTCATCATCGGGCGACTGTTTGGTGTTTTCTTGATCATGGGTGTTCTCTATGTACTTATAGCGTCGGACGTTCTGTCATTTACAAAGAACCGCATGGGGATGGGCCAGATATACGACCCTGAGTCTATCAGAATATTTGTACAGAACCATATGAACGATCATGGACACATGCAGAAATATCTCGAGCACATCACTGACTTCCCCCACGTTGCGGGGACCGAGGGCAATTATGTACTGGGAGAATGGGTGGCTGAGCTTTTCAAAGCAGGCGAATTGGAAGAGGTGGAAATGGAGAGATACGATGTTTACATGAACTATCCACGAAAAGATGGGAGAAGAGTGGCCATTGTCGAGCCAGACAGCATGAAATGGGAGGCCAAAATCGAGGAAGATCGAGAGAAGTCGTTGGTCTTTCATGGCCATTCAAAGTCGGGCAATGTGACCGGTCCCCTGATATATGCAAACTTTGGGTCGAAGGAGGATTTCAAAACGCTCGAAGACAACAACATATCCGTTAAGGATGCCGTTGTACTCGTTCGCTACTATGGCTCCCAGGGAGACCGAGCGCTGAAAGTCAAAGCTGCAGAACTTGCCGGTGCTGCAGGATGTATCATCTACTCTGACCCGGCGCAAGACGGCTTTGTCCAGGGACCGACTTTTCCAGACGGACGATTCATGCCTCAAGATGCGGTACAGAGAGGCGCGGTCAGCCTCATGTCCTGGGTTGTTGGAGATGTCCTCACTCCCGGATGGGCTTCAACGCCAGATAACAAGAAACACCTGAAACCCGCAGAGAGCGCCGGCCTCAACAAAATCCCTTCCATCCCCATCTCCTGGGAGGACGCGAAGCACTTACTCGAATCGCTCAAAGGTCACGGCAATCAGATGAAGGATGATTGGCAAGGAGTGCCTGACTTTGAATATTGGACGGGAAGCCCAGACTCTCCAAAAGTCAACCTCCAGAATTTCCAAGATGAAGAGGTGAAGCAGCCTATCTACAACGTGTTGGGCAAGATTACAGGCTGGGAGCAACCCGAGAAGAAGATCGTAGTCGGAAACCACCGTGATGCATGGTGCACCGGCGCCGCCGATCCCGGTAGCGGTACCGCCGTCATGCTCGAAGTTGTGCGGATTTTTGGTGAACTGCGTCGACTGGGTTGGCGGCCTCTTCGCACCATCGAATTCGCTAGCTGGGACGGGGAGGAATACAACCTGATCGGCAGTACCGAGTACGTCGAGAATCGGGAGAATCAGCTGCGCGAGGATGGAATTGCCTACCTCAACGTCGACGTTGGGGTGACAGGAGCCGATTTCCACGCCGCCGCCTCTCCCCTTTATGAACGACCCCTACTGCATGTAATCAACCGCGTCAGTGATCCCTCCACAGGCAAATCCATCCGCGAACTCTGGGACGCAGATAGCCGGAGGATTGAAGGCCTCGGCGCAGGAAGCGACTTCGTCGCCTTTCAAGACATCGTGGGCACCTCGTCGGTTGATATGTACTTCAAAGGTGCCAGGTTCCCCTACCACTCCTGTTACGATAACTTCGAGTGGATGGCCAAGTTCGGTGATCCAGACTGGACATATCACAAGGCCATGGGTGAGATCTGGTCGCTCCTGATTCTCGAGTTGGCCGACAGACCACTTCTCCCGTTCGATATCAGCGCATACGCCCGGGCTATTGCGCGATATATCGATGACCTTAACGCCTATGCGAAGTCTTCACCCACAGCATCTGACACGAATACTCTTGACCTCTCTTCTTTGCGGAAGGCATCGGACATCCTTGCTCAGGAGGCGCTGCGCTTCCACACCTTCGACGCATCCTGGCGTGACTTCATTTTTGGTTCGGGAGGTTTCGAATCTTCGGCAATGGGGACCGCCCGCTTGGACCACAACAATCGTCTCACACATTTCGAGACGGATCTTCTCGACCTGACCGAAGGCGGTGGGTTGGTCAACCGAACGCAGTTTAAACATGTCATATTTGCTCCACAGCTGTGGAGTGGATATGACGACGCGACGTTCCCCAGTGTGAGAGACGCCGTCGATGTCGGGGACTGGGAGGTGGCGCAAGCCGAGGTGGAGAAAGTGGCGGGCATATTGGAACAAGCGGCCGGGAAGCTGAATTCATGAGACGTGTAAATGGGACGTGTAAAGAGCAGGGAAGGAGGAACCAATCAATCTCTTTGATCTCGAGGCAGCGCACTGGCTGACACAGGACTCACCGGTCAAAAGCTTTGCCCAGGGATTGTTTTTGCCCTTTTCGACAGGACCAGCGGGATGGGACCATGTTTTGCTATTGTTCTGTCCCCTTTTTCTTTGTGGCTATTGCGAGGAAAGGGGCCAAAAGAGAGCACGGCGTACGGTGGAGGGTGATAAGCGCGCCTCGGAACGAAGCTGCCACTGCTCAGCGTCGGTGTCTCTTTGTATGTCAGTGTCTTGAAGTAGCGGGGGCACTGGTCTGCGACTTAGACATGAGCGGCTTGGACTCCCCACGAGACATGCAGAGACCGGGAATCAGCGGCTCCGGCAAGCTCGTCCATACCGATCAGGATTTCTCCTATGGATATATGTTTCTACAGCCTTGCGATTGAATATATGCTTTGGGACTTTTTTCATCGCCCTTTTCACACCCTCAGACCTCCCTCTTGAAAGTCTTCGCCAGTGCCCAGAAATTCTCCATCTTGGCTCGGCTCAACACATCCTTTGCCTGCGCATCCGTCTCGCACACTCTGGCTCCCAGCCACCGCTTGAAACTTCTCTGCTTTTCTTCGCCCTTGAACACCAGTTCACACTTGTTCAGGCTCAAGTCCTTCAATTCGCCGTTCTCGTCCTCGGCCTCGAGCCACTTGGCCAGGGCTTCGCGGTTTCCTTCTGCCACGGAACGGGGTGCTTCCATCTCGGTCCATCGAATGCGGTTTTGCATTAATTTGTCATAGTTCCGGATGCTGTGCTCGCCACCTTCGACCACGACGAGGTTCATTTTGGGGTGCATGATAACGACGCCGGTGAGGGCATTCTGGTCCGCGTTGACCGAGACTTGGTATCTGTGCTTGCCGTTTGCGAGTGAGTCGATCTTGTAGACACGGATTTGAATCCCACGGGCCGCATCTTCGGCTTGCTGTTTCACCAGTTTTTCGGCACGCTGTTCCTTCGTCAACTTGCGAGCCAGATTGGCTTCCTCGGCCTTTTGCTGCCGCTCGGCAATTTCCCTGTTGACTCGGGCTTCCACGGCTGTGGGATCTTTTACGGCTTCTTCGCCCAGTACGCGCATCAAGTTGCTCTTTTTCACCTTTGGTGGAGGCGGTGGAACAAGACCTAGTCGGATTTTAGCTTGTTCTTCCTTGAGATCGGCCATGCGGCGTTGACGGCGTAGTTTAGCTTGTTCCTTCGACGTAAGATACATAGGTTTAGGGGCGGGGTTGTTTTTCTCCTGCGGTGGCTCAATAAGGACCGGATGCTGGATGTAGACCGTGATAATACTATCCGGCGTATCGATCTTCAGGTTTGCCGGGTCGGAGATGGCATCGTAGGATTTGCCATTCACGAGGCCTTCATCCCACCATTCCAGATCAGGAGGAGCAGGGACGAGGAACGCCTTCTCGGTATCGAGATCTTCTTCCAAGCCCGCTTGCCTTGCGCGTTCCGCAATTTTCTTCTTCATAGCTTCTAATTGCGCTTGACGTCGGAGTGCTGCTGCTTGTTGGATATATTTTCCCTTTTGATTAAAGACTAGCTGTCGAGAATGCCGGCCCTTAGGCAGCACGTTTCGGGAACCCAGAGTCGCATCGAAGTATGGGTTCTCTTTGAGTTCTTCCAGCGAAGGGCCCGAGAGATCTAATTGTGCCTTCTGCTGCATCGAAGCAGGTGACTCTGTCCTTCGATTTCCTATTGCGGATGGGAACTTTGGCTGCGGTGTGCGCCCCTTGCTTCTCTGCGCATCATGCTGCGAATCGGCCAACAAATCAGGATGTATACCAATGTTCAGCCCGCCTCGTGCTTTCGACATGTCGTCATTATAGGCTGGAGCAGAGTAATTTGTCGACGGCCTTTGCTGAGTCTGGGCTGCTACTCGACCGGTCGCTGCTGCCACGCGAGCCCTCATCTGGGCAATCCTGTCGGTCGCGCTCAGAGGAGGGTTGGGCGAGGCACTCGCTGTCATTGCAGGTGAGGCGGGTGATGCACCGCTCTTCATGGCTGCCAGTTTCGCTTTCAACTCAGCCGCTTTGGCTGCAGCCGCGGCTTTCGCACGAGCCACTATCGCATCGGCGTCTGGCTTTGCCCCCATAGGCGCAGAGGCGGCGGCGGTAGCTGGAGTGGTAGGACGAGGAGAGCCATTGTTAGATCTGGCTCGTTTCTGGCTCTCGAGTCCATCGTCTTCAGGGTGAAGCCTTTTCAGCACATTGCTCGCTCTGTCTGCCATTTTGGAAGGTTGCAAGAGGAAGACTCACTAGGAGCAAGAGATTGACTGCTCTTGCAGGTGCTGCGAGCTCGCGTGAGGTGAGGTGAGGTGCGGGAAGCGCACGCTGTCTAGATTATGATGGCAGACGGTTCAAACAGTCCAGATGCCTGCGCGCGCATGCGGAGAAAATCGTGATCCTGCCAAGCCAGCAAGTCAAGGGGTCGAGACGCTAAGCTGTTTTGGGGAAAAGATGCCGCCTTGTGCGAAACCTCAGCCTTGCGAATCGTTCATTCCGACCTCAAATTCGAAGCAGACCTCACTTTTGATGGCATTTATTCTCCCAGTTTATCTTGTTTTCTTGGCCTGGACTGCATACCTCGGCCCTCGAATTGTATACTCATGTGTCATAGTCGCCTATCATTTATATCTTTCTCCCCTGTCCATGCTTAAATATCTGTTCGAAGACCTCATCATCCTGAGCATGGCTGTTGCCACCCGTCAGGGTATTGCACAGTTGATAACTGTATGCCAGGGCATCCTTTTCAATTTCGCGGTAGCTCCCATTCTCCACGTATATCACTTCGCCATTTCGGGACTCGTCGGAGGCCAGCAGACCAACTGCTCGAGCTACGGCAGCAGGCTCCTGGAATCTGACACCAATGCTTTCCAGCCATTCAGCATCCAAAAGATTGGTCCGGGTCCAGTTAGGTGCGATACTGTTGACTCGAATTCTGTCCAGATTACGTACTCGTAATTGCGGAAGGAGGCCTCTTTGAAATCCGAGCACACCATGCTTAGAAGTAGCTAGAGGTCGAGGTAAGCCCTTCGGGGGACAGAGGAACTTCGAGAGTGTTGGTACTTACTATAATCGGTTGCACCAAATGACATATAACCTGCCGATCCACTGTTAGTTGAGCAGCTTTGAGATCGGATATTGGCACTTACTTGTTGCTGAGGCTGTAAGGACAATACTTCCACCCGTGGTTTGCTGTGCCATGTGCCAAACTGCTAGTGTAACGGTATTAATCAGACCGAGCACATTGATTTCATAGCAGAGTCGAGACGGCTCCTTCGGTTGCCCATGATCATCAAGTCGTAGGTCGAAGTAATCTGCCGTTGTTGCAACGCCTATAAAATCTCAGCTACTTTTCACCGTGCTAACCTTCACGTTTGCACAAATATGAATATTGACAACGGCAGAGCTCACCAGCATTTGCAAAGGTGACATCCACACGGCCGTATTTCTTCACAGTTTCTTGGAATAGATGACGGAGATCATCCCATTTTGTGACATCGGTTTTGATAAAAATAGTGTTGGGAAACTCGCCGGTAGGTGGTTTTAGGTCTGCGTTCACAACTGTTGCCCCATTCTTCACAAAGAGCTTCAGAGCCTCCAGGCCAATTCCAGACGAAGAGCCTATTTTCTCTGTCAGGCTTTCTGGTATACCTACTTTCCACCATTCAGTGTAGCCCGGTGTTCATACCTGTCAAAATGGCAACTTTGCCTTTGAGTGCCTTTGCCTGGTCCTCATTTATCTCGAAAGAAGACATTGATGCCAGAGATAACACAATTTTGCGTTGAGATACTTGGTGACCTGGACAGATATCCAGGATTAATTCACATTCTTAAGGAACCAGCTAACGTGACTTTTAGAGAGCTCCATAATACCATTCCCAACAACCGGAGAGGAGATCGCCGGCCAACACCGTTGTGCTTAACAGCGGTCAAAAGACTTCGCCGATTGTTGCCGACTGGTCTATGAGAATTGTTTATGATATGGGTCATTGGCATAGAAGCCGTTACCAACAGTTATTGCAGGATGGAATGTTACGTACGAAAGATACTCTGACGGCCAGGCGGAGTATTGCAATGTTTGTCAGTCTGCTTCATTCGGACGAGACGCTACTCTCTCCGATGTTGCTGCTTTGGGTGCCGTTCGGACAGAGAGATGGCAACAGCAAAGAATCTTACTTATAAAATCCTACGCAGCCTCAAACACAAGTAGTAGGACGAGTCAGCTTTTGTCACTGTGCCATCAAAAACTATGCAGATCACTTTGCAACCCCTTACTTTATACTCCACTGCCGCTGGACCGAAGTGAGTGACTATTCAATGCCCGAACGTGTTGTCCAGTTTTTTCTGACAACCAAAGTCCGTACAAGGTTGCAATTGTCCTTGAAGAGCTAGGACTGCCATACGAGACTCAGCTACTCGATTTGTCGGATGTGAAAAAGAAGCCTTTCACGGATCTTAATCCGAACGGCAGGGTACCAGCTCTGACGGACCCGAACCGTGGGTTAACGATCTGGGAGTCCGGCGCCATCATCCAATATCTCGTCGAGGTCTATGACGCCGAGGAAAAGATCACCTACCACAAAGCGCCTGAGAAGTTTCTTCTGAACCAATGGCTACACTTCCAAGTCTCTGGACAAGGGCCATACTACGGCCAGTGTGCCTGGTTTACCCACTACCACCATGAAAATATCCAAAGTGCAAAGGATCGATACCTAAAGGAGGTCGAGAGGGTGATCTCCGTTCTCGACTGCTGGTTACAGAAGCATGACTTTCTTGTTGGGGACAAGTGCACTTACGCCGACTTGAGTTTCGTGACTTGGGCGATTCTCGTGCCATGGCTTGACAAAGAGAAAAGGATATCGATGTCACAATACAGTGCTTATAGCACTTGGCTCGAAAAGCTTGTTACCAGGCCGGCCGTACGAAAAGTCCTCAATCTACTTGAAGAAAGGAGAAGACATCTGTGAAAGTTGATGTTGTGATTATAGGCGTCTATCTAGATAGTCTCCATTATAATGAAGTGACATACCGAATACATCTGTAAGGGCCGACAAACCGAGTAATCGTCTAGTTGCTATGCAAGCCATCAGGTTGTAAAATACCTATAGTGCAGCGTGAATCGAGTCATTGATACCGGTCATGGAAAGCCTGTGTTACAAGTTAGCATTAGATAATTTAGATTTAACATCAGATGGTTTTAAATACGGAGTTCGGGGTGGGAAGTGGCCAATCCATGCCCGCTACGGCCGTGAAGGTTCATTAGAATTCTAACCTCTTTCTGTCTCAGGGGAAAGCTTACGTCTACTTGATTCGCGAGTCTCCTTCTGGCTCTCTTTGGCCGTAAATCTTACTGGGTTGTCTTATTGGCTCCAATAGCACCGCAGGCTAGCATCCAAACACCCCATCGACCACGGTAAAGCACGGTGCTCACAACGCCTAAAACAACGTGTTCAACTGTCAACACTTGACGCTCACCAGAGGCAAATGTCCAATCGTGATGGGACTGACTGACTTACGTGCGTACGCTGGCGACTCAAAGGGGCTTTCCACATGTTTGGAAGGCTAGGTTCAATTTCCCCACTACCCCAGATCCCTGGGGAATGGGTCTCCATCGGTAGCATAGCTAAGCGATACTCCCAACAAGAGCTTGACTTTCTATACTTGCGTACTGGTTTGGTCCTGCCCGGCACTCCCACGGTCGTTTTGGAGACCGTCATCCGAGGTATCCATCTTGCTAAGACTGTAGCTGGTGTATATATGGACAATCAAGATGCTGAATCGGCATGTCATGTAGTTTGGAAAATCGAGTACTGTCGTTCTATGAGCAACCATCCAAGAGGTACGGTTTCGTAATGGATTCGCAGAGTATCAAAGTCCCTTTCAATTGGCGCAACTTCTGGACATGCATGGCACTGAGCTTTGGCATGTTCGTGAATGGATACCTTTCAGGAGTTATCGGCACCACGTTGGCCGACCCAGGCTTCCTTGTGTACATGGGGCTGGTGGACAGAGATGGGGATCCCACTGACAACTCTGAGGCCTTGATCGGCGCTTCTACTGGGATATTTCAAGTAAGCATGAGCACCGGTCCTTCACTTTCGTCGTGATGCTCATACTCACCCATTATCAGGCTGGAGGATTTGTTGGGGTTCTCATCGGTAGCTGGCTGCTTGATCGATTCGGGAGAAAGAAAACTGCGATCATTGTGGCGACTGGTTGCACCATATCCCAGGCTATCACCGCCGCCTCGCAGAACGTTGCCATGTTCATAACGTTGAGATTTTTTGTCGGTGCTGCGGCATTCATGGAAATGTCCATTAGTACGTCTGTCCCTCTATTGCTCGATGAGCGAATTGCTGACACCAACGACAGCACCGGTTTACGTTGCCGAACTGGCTCCCACGAAAACTCGCGGCTTGACTGTTGGCATCACCGGGGTTTGGGTTGCAGTTGGGTACGCTGTGGCTGCGTATTTTGGCGCTGCATTCTTCAGCCTTGGGGAGACCATTCAGTGGCGTCTTCCACTCGCACTCGGCGTGGTCTGGCCACTGCTTCTGCTTCCTGCATTGCTGGTTGTCCCGGAGTCACCAAGATACCTTTTGATGAAAGACAGGGCTGAAGAAGCTCTCGCCATTGTTTTGAAACAACATGCTACTCCTGGCCGTGAAGACGACGCCCGGGCAGAGTTCTTTCAGATGCAACAACAAGCCGAGCTCGACTGTACTCTCGACGCTTCGTGGGTTGGATTTTTGAAACATAAAACCCACCGCCGGAGAGGCGGATTGGTACTCATACTTGGCTTCCTGGCACAGACGTCAGGCAACCTCGTCGTCAATAATTATGTATGGCCCTTCACCCCCCAGTTTGTCTTGACAGTACTAATGGGCTTGACAGGGTCCGAGCCTTTATGGCGCTCTCGGATATGGTCCGTATGACCAAGTCAGATTCCAATGCGGCTATATCACAACGGCAATCATCTTCAGCACCATTGGATCGATGCTGGTAGATGGCCTAGGACGCCGATTGATCTTGATCAGTGGCTTGGCAGGATGTGCATGTATGATCTCCCTAGAGACTGCGATGGTTGCCTGCTATGCCGAAGCGGGAACGAACAAGGCAGGCCTTGCTGTTGGAGTTGCGGCGTTGTACTTGTTTGAGTCTTGCTACTGTTTCAGCGTTGATATCTGTCTCTTCGTCGTGTCCAGCGAGCTGTTTCCGAACCATTTGCGCTCGAAAGGGGTTGCTCTAGCCATTGGAGCCTGCAACTTGACAAACATTGTCCTCCTCACCACTGCGCCGACCGCCTTCCGACATGTTGGGTGGAGATTCTTCTTGGTAAGTACTCCGCCAGCATCCTTCG